CCCATGCATTAGGGTGAGTGTCAAGGTCACCTGAAGGTCAGGTCAGGTCATTGACCTTTGGTGACCTCGGGTGACCTCGGTTCACTTTTTCGAGTTTTGCATGTTTCTAGGCTAGTTTTTTTAGCTGAATTCGAATTTAGCAACCATTTGAACATTTACGAAGTAGTTTTGGTGCCTTCCTAACATGTTACGAAGCTGTCCGAGGCGGTTGACACGTATTACGAATACCCGGTCACAACCCCTACCGGTTGACCTGACCTGACCTGACCCGACCTGGTCTAAATGCTTAAAGACATCATCTCTGATCAAAACTAACACGATATTCGTGATCAGCACCCCGGAAAACCACATAGCAGCCACACTTTACGACTTTCTAACAGGTCCCGATTTTCCCGGTTTTTGGGTCATTGACCTGACCTGGAACCCGATGACCTAGGACCTTAAAATTGGGTATCATCGGCTTAGTCTCGTGGCGGGCAACACGCTCGTTTTTTCCGCGAAGCTCTAGCTCGATCAGGGGCCAAACGCGAGGGGGGGGTCGTACCAACCCCCCCCCCCCTTGTGCCGTCGAAGGACTCAAAATGGCCTGTGCCGGCGAGGGTTAACTTATCTAGCTAACAGGATATCAACATTTTATGCATCACATAAGGTATGTCATAAAAATGAAAAAGAGCTTACTATGCCGGGCTTCCCCCGGCCTCCACTACCTCCATTATTCATAACTCAACTATTTAGTAAAGTTTGACCATGTTTTAGCTTAGCTCCATTTGAAAGCCAACGGAACAAGCTTCGAGATAAAGCTTGCTGTAGTACGGCAGATAATCGATGAGACGTTGAGAGCCTAACAAAAAAGCGGTGAAATTATAGATGCAAAAAAAGACGTAGCCGGGTTGAGCGCTACACCGGCGAACCCCGGCCGCTCCGCGGTATTTTAGCATTTTGAGTGGGAAAAATTGTCGTGCGATTGGTAACTTTGTGTATTCTGTGTTCTACTTCTCATCCTGCATCTGATTTTGGAATCACCTGACCTGTGAGTGAACCGTATCTGGCTTTATTTGCTGTTTAAAATTGTCGGTGCTCGTCGCTGGAGCCGCTGTCGTGAAACTATCGGAAAAATTATCGAAGAGAAGAGCTCATCGTTACATACAGACTTACGTATTTTTTAATGACGCTCTCAACGGTGCAATTTTTAAGCGTCTATCTGCAGTCGTTTTCAAGATAATCATCAAGTTCTGCAGGACTATTTTCTCTCCGCCGCGCATGCCTTCATGGCCCAGGTCTCCCCCTCCCAACCGCCGTCGGTTGCCATGGTGACCAGCCCCTATGGGTCCCGGCCGGCGCCCGAGACGCCGGTAGCCGGCTAACAACAATGCCGGCCGACCCTCGTCCCCTGCCCCGGCGGCCCGCTCGGCGCGGCCGTCGCGCGGGCTGGCGCGCTCGGCGCGCGAGGGGACATGGGAGCGGCGAACAGCTGACTGCTCCCGGCACTGGGACCCCTCACGGGTCTCGTCGTGTAGAGTGCCAAACACCTGACATCAACCATCGACGGGACGACCAAACTGCTCCTGCCTGTGCATACGACCTGGCATTTCTGATGGAGGTGCGTGACCGGCTTAACAACAACACGGCTCGGGAAGTCGCCGAGACTATCCGGCGCAGTCTTCCCGCCCATGTCATCCGCCATCATAATCGGCCACGCCCCCTCAGCCCAGTGGACGGAGCACATGGCCGGCTTGCTCGACAGACTCAGCGCCAGTCTAGCCGGCCGAACGACCCGCCCAAATTACTCATCGGCTCCCTGAATATTCAAAGCCTGAAGCCCAAAGTTCAGGAGCTGACATTTGAGCTCAATCGTCACGACTACGACGTCATGCTTCTGGCTGAGACCTGGCTGCGCTCGACCACCCCGAACCGCCTCCTGGTCATTCCAGGATACACGCTCTGTCGTGTGGACCGCCCAGATGGTAGCGGTTACGGCGGTGTCGCAATTATCACCAAGGCTAAAATCACGTCAACCGCACTCAAGATCCCGGGCAGTGGGAGCTCTGCCAGCAGCCTGGAGTCACTGTGGGCGCTGCTAAAGCTTGAACAGGGCCGGCAGCTGATTATCTGCTCCCTGTATCGGCCACCCCGACACAGTGAGGCTGCTCTGCTTGCCGACTTCACGGACCTCGAGGCCCAACTGCAACGAGTTATAATCGATTACCCCAGTGTTCCGCTTGTCATCTGCGGCGACCTCAACTGTGATTTATTGAAAGAGCCTAATTTCCGCGCGCGTCAACACCTAAGCAGCTTCCTATCAAATTACTCATTAGATCAATTAGTGACAACTGCAACATTTTCCTCCGGCTCGCTCCTGGATGTGTGTATTGTTAACAACCGTGAGCTCGTTTGCGACACCCGTGTTAAATATTGTCACTTCAGTCCTCACAAATTTATCGATGTCGTTATGAATGTGCCGAAACTGCGTCAAAAGCCCACTGTTATCTCGTCTCGCTCCTTTAAGCGTTTGGATCACCGTGCACTGCATCATGACTTACTCGATGTTGACTGGGATTATGTATTCTCCGCCGAAACCGTCAGTAATAAGTGGGATGCTTTCTTGTCTTTCTTCGTACCTGTTTTCGATGCCCATGCCCCAATTAAGCATGTGTCTATCCGTAACCCGACTGCTCCTCCCGTCTCCGACGCCACTCGAGATCTCATGTCCCAACGTCGCGCTGCGCTCCGCCATTTAGGCCGCAACTCGAGCGAGTACAAAAACCTTAACCGCTCTGTCCGGGCGGCTTTGCGTCGCGACCGGCGGGTGGAACTACAGAGGGAAATCGGGGAACGGGGCCCCAACAAAGTTTGGCAATGTATCAGGTCGGTGGTTGCCGGTAAGAAGGATGGTTCTGATGTTCAGCCTGACCTACATATCTGCCAATGACTTAAATTCTTTCTTTGTATCCGTCGGTCCTCGTGTCGCTGCCGAGATCCGAGCCCAAAACGCACCTACTGATTTGAATGTACGTCTTACCCGTGTAGGTGCATGCAGCTTTCAACTTCGGGAAATCACACTTGCCGAGCTTGAGCGGACGATTTTCAGCATGCGTAGCTCGGGTGCTTGCGGTACCGACGGTGTCTGCGTTCGCATGCTGAAAGCCGGATTCCGAGCCATTGGTGGTGTCATCCTGCATATTATCAATACCTGCTTAATTCAATCCGATATCCCCGATTCATGGAAACATTCTATAGTTCACCCTCTGTTCAAATCCGGCAATCCTTCAGACCCCGCAAACTTCCGGCCCATTTCCCTGGTTCCTGTAATCATGAAAGTGGTTGAGCGCATTGTCCATCAGCAGCTCTACATCTACCTCTCTCACAATCACCTTCTGGCATCCTCACAGCACGGCTTCCGCCCCCGGCACTCTACTGAAACCGCGTTGTTGTCCGTCACTGAACGCATCCTGGCCGCCACCGACAGGGGGGAGATCTCAATGCTATGCCTTCTCGATCTTAGTAAATGTTTTGACGTGATAGACCACGAGCTTCTGATGCAAAAACTTATGCTGCACGGTATCGAAATTTCCTGGTTCGCCGCCTATCTTCATGGACACACCCAGAGCGTGTCGTTGAAAAATGGGTCCGGAAGTAGAGTGCTGTCTCGGCCTCTTCCTAATACCATGGGTGTCTTCCAGGGCTCTGCGTTAGGGCCGTTACTTTTCACCATCTTCTCTAACAACTTATCGCTGTACGCGGGTGATGCAGTAGTCTTTCAATATGCCGACGACACCCAAGTATTGGTTAGCGGTCCTGCCAGGGACCTTGGAGTTCTCATCTCGCGCATGGAGGTTTCGCTCGCGTCACTAAACGAATGGTTCTGCGCTAACGCCCTGAAGGTCAACGCCAGTAAAACACAGCTCATTGTCTTCGGCAGTCGTCAAAATTTACGCAAATTGCCAGATTTCAGGGTATCGTTCCGTGACGCAGCGTTGCAGCCGTGCGCGCAGGTGGGGAACCTGGGCGTCACTTTTGACAGTACTCTATCCTGGGACGCTCACGTCTCCGAACTCAGCCGCCGGTGTACGGGACTATTGATCGGTCTCTCCCATGCGCGCCACAGTCTCCCGGATGGCATCATTAGAACGCTCGTGACAGCACTCGTTATCTCACGCATCCAGTACTGCCTCTCAGTTTATGGCAACGGGTCCCAAAAAAATTTCGATCGTCTCCAAAAAATTTTGAACTTCGCTGCTAGAGTCATTTTCGGTCGCCGTAAATTTGCCCATGTCTCTGACCTGCGAAAAAAGCTCGGGTGGTTGTCCCCGCGTCATATGGCTGATTATCAAACCCTTGTTATCGCCCACAAAGCCATTCAGCGCGGCGAACCCGAGGAATTGGCAACCATGTTCGTCACAAACAGCGCTGTCCGGGAGAGACACTCCAGGCAAGACCACCTCTTTCACCTTCCGCGACCACGGCTGGAAACGGGTAGGCGGCGGTTCGCCCATCGAGCCGCAGCTCTACTCAACAGTCTTCCAACTCAGCTGTCGCAGCTGTCCCCCGCCCCCTTTGCCCGATCTGTTAAAGCCGCGATAGTGGACGGGGCATCAACTGATCGTCGCTGACCAACGGGTTGGTGGGTGGGTGAGTTGTACCTGTGGTACTACGAAGGTGTCTCTGTCCGTGCTCTGACGTGAGTGAGTGTGTGAATGCTGTGAATGTTTAGATTAGTAACCGCGGATACGGATTCTGAGCAGTAATCGCCACGCACTTTCAGAATGTGGATCGCTCATGATTGTTCAATACAATACAAATACAATAGGGTAATGCCGGCACGGGGTACAATAGCAGATGCTGAAAAATATCAAAACATTGCATGGTCGCCGTATCGCATATTGTGACACATATATAGCTGGCGTGCAATTTTCCCTAAAGTGTCCTGCAGAAATGTTTGAAACTCGTGCGGCCCGCCGTCGAACTCTGACTCAGTGTATACCCACTCACTGTTCCCGCAGTTACGGCACACACGGCTGCACGGCCGGGCGGGCCGAGCAGGCGTTCGAGTACCTCTCCAGCAGCGGCGACGGCCTATCGAAGGCCGCCGATTACCGGTACTACGGCGGCGACTGGGAGAGCTGCCGTTCCCACACGGGCGTCGCACACATCTCCGACTGGAGGTTCACGTCGCGCGCCAGCGAGCCCGAGCTCGAGTACGTGGTGGCCACGGTGGGGCCGACGGCGGCGCGCATCGACGCCGACCACACGGCGTTCCAGCTGTACGCGGGCGGCGTGCTGCACGTGAACCACTGCAGCACCGACCGGCCCACGCTGGCCGTCGAGGTGGTCGGCTTCGGCTCAGAGGACTACTTCGGCCAGCTGGTCACCTACTGGCTGATCAAAAACTCGTGGGGACCCGGCTGGGGCGAGTACGGCTACTTAAAACTCCACAAGGACGCCAACAACATGTGCGGAATAGCGACCGACGCCTCCTACCCGCTGGTTGGGTGAGGTCCATGGACAGTACTCGATCGTTAGTGTGGAGGTCAGCTTGTACATAGGTGTGATTAAGGATCAGTTCAATACAGAGTGACTGGTCATGACCGATGATGGGTAAATGCTGCGTTATTTATCTGAAAAGCGCGGGACCGTAGTCATGCACAGTGGTTTCCGCATGCGATAGGATGAGCGATAAACGATAAACAATGCTTCGCTGTCAACCCGCGCCGGGCCGGTGCTCTGAGATTCGGCACCGGGCCGGGGGGGGGGGGTGTCTGAACACCCCCCTTCTAACTCGGCTCCTTGGCCACGTAGCGACACGCGGTAAGCGGCAATCGAAAGAACGTCCAAAATAAGGACGAAAACACCTGGTCATTTTTTGGGTCAGGTCATAGGTCAGGTCACCAGAGGTCACCAAAGGTAAAATTTTGACTATTTCAACATTTTGGAAACTGCCGACGGCTATCTCGGGAACCGATAAAGCTACAGCACCGCAGTAAAGCGCATTCGATAGCCCTTTTAACCCTCGCCCGCACATGGGGGGGGGGGGGTGGTTGCCACCCCCCCAGGCAGTCTTTCTGCTCTGCACTCAACATTTTTTGAGCTAGAAGGCTGATTTTTCGTATAGCTGCTCGTCCATCCTTTCTTGATGTCCACTGAAAATTTCAAGTTTCTGTGATTTTTGGTTTCGGAGATATGACCTTGTTTTTCAGGTCATGTCATGACCCAAATGGCCAATTCTCAACATCTTGCGTTTGCCATGGGCCTTGTGAGATTTTGACACCCTGATTTCGGCCTTTTTTGCCAGTCTTACCTCCCACCTATCATGGAACATGTTGTTCGACGATGTACAGGGGTCAAGGTCAGGGTCAAGGTCAACCTAGGTCATCTAAGATAATTGCGTTTTAGGCAAGCTGAATTTACTTTTTGTGAAGTTTTTTGACTGCATTTTTGGTAAAAGCTTCTCAGATCATGATTTCATGTGATATGGACCCAAAAACAATCGGTGCACACATCAGTATACACACAGACACACACAGACATACAAACACATATAATTGACCTTGACCTAACTTGACCTGAAATGACCTCAGCAGCAAAATTCTGGTCGGATAGTGTGACAAAGAGGTTCTAGCTGGCTTGGCACCAGAAAACAGCATCGACATCGGTATTTGATAAGCAGCGCACTTGATATCCAACGGTGACCCAAAACAGCAACATTTTTTAGTTTGACCTGACCTGGAAGGTCAATGACTGACCTGAGAAGGTAAAACTAGGTATCATTGGATTCGTCTCTTCCCAAAGAATCTTTTTGGTCTTTACTGCTAAGCTCTATCTCCAACAGGAACGAAATGGCGCGGGGGGGTGGCAACCACCCCCCCCCCCCCCATGTGCGTTCTAGGATGGGAAAATGGCATGTGCGGGCGAAGGTTAAAGACCTTTCTGAGTAATGTCCTCAGATTTGACCTCAGGTCAACGGTTTAGCCTCCAGAGGGCAAAAACTCCAAAAATAGCCGTTTTCACGAGAAACGTTTTTTCGGCAATAGCTTTTGACTCAAAAGAGATGACATTACTTTTGCCAGCATGGTGTTCCTCTTGTCGAGACGCGTCGAATGAACTATAATTTGACCTTGAAAGGTCAACTTGAAAATTTGGCCTCAGGTCAAGGTCATGACCTGACCGTAAAAGGTCATGTTGCATATCAGTCGGTTCGCAACGTCGAGCCAAACATATCTAAGGCGTTTTCAGCGCTCTAGCACGCCTCTATCAGAAGTTATTAGCGAAAAAAACTGTTAGCTGTTAGAAAAACTGAAAAACTGTTCGTGACCTGAGATGACCTCGGGGACATACCGAGGGGTCACAACTCACAGTTGCTATTTTCCGGTTCAGTGTGTCAATCGTACCTACATCTCGATGTTTGAGAGTGTCTAGAATAGCGTTTGTGCAAAACAGGCGCTTTTCAATTTTCTCCCATTGACTTAGGTAAAATGGAGAGGCCGCAACATTGACCTGACCTTAGGTCACCTATATTAAGATTCCGAGATATGCGTTTTACAGATAATGTTGCTGTTATCAATCGCTGATAGTTTCAAGGCAGTCGATCAATCGGTGTAGCTATGACGAGCATTCTTATTGTTTCTTACACACCCCCCCCCCCGGCCCGGCGCCGATTATCGTTAAATAATCGATTATCGATTATCGTTACCTATCGTCTATCGTTAAATTTTCAAAATTATCGCTCATCCACTTATCGCAAGTTACAAAAAAATTATACACGATAAACGATAAAATGTAAAACGGGATGATGGAAAAATGGAAGACGATCGACATGCATGCCGGGTGACAGTATGTGAAACAGATGCTGAGCTTGACTAAAATGTGTTTTTGTCCTTTTTCTTTACTTGTATGATCCAGTATTGAGTATATACTGCAAATAAACTTTAAGTACACTTATTTTAGCTGTATTTTTTTTATCGCTTTTGTTATCGCTGTTAAAAACAATTATCGTTATCGTTTATCGTTTATCGTTTCGTTATCGCTGTATGAAAACAATCATCGTTATCATTTTATCGTTTATCGTTTCGTTATCGCTATTAAAAAAAACAATTGTCGTTATCGTTTTATCGTTTTATCGCTATCGCTGTTAATTTTTTTGAAAAAAAAATATCGTTTATCGTTTATCGTTATCGCAAACCTTTCTTATCGTTTAATCGTTATCGCAGGTCTGAGAATAAGTTATCGCGGAAAGCACTGGTCATGCATTATGCAGCGAACGATCACTGTGTAGGGTAGAAGGTACAGGTGACCGCTGAAGTAATGTACGGTATCCGTGGCGGCATTGGGTTTGCATCTGTATCTTAGGATCTATTTGTCCGACTGCAATGAAACTTGGAATGTAGCTTACAAGTGCCGAGATCTTTTGGTTGCAATCTCATCTTTTGCTGTCTACCTCTGGATCACTCCGTATTTTAAAATCGTCGGTCAGAGCCATCTGTTGAGGAGATTCGTAACTAAATTCATGATTACGCCACTGATGCCCAACCACGTGATTCGGCTGGGCAGCGAACCAATCACCTTTCTTGCAGACAGCATGAATGACGCCAGGTGCCCTTGCGTCGAGGCTTGCGCTTCTCGGTTGTGGCGTGACCGAGTCGGGTCGCAGAGCGAGGTCAGTGGGGTCAGCCTGGTCAACCGCCTCCGGGCTAGCGGTGCGCTGGGCAGCGCGGGTCTGGGCAGACCCTCTGCGCCACATGAGGGCCCTTAGTGGTCGTTATAGGGCCCCAGCCTGCCCCAGGGGACAGAGGTCGTCGTGAGAGCCCTCAGAGATCATCGTAAGGGCCTTCAGAGGCCGTCATGGGGCCATCAGAGACCAGCGTGACCCCTGGAGTCTCCTTGGGGGCCCTGGAGTCTCTGTGGGACCCTCAGCGGTCGTCATGAGGGCCCTTAGTGGCCGTTGTAGGGCCCCAGGGGACAGAGGTCGTCGTGGGAGCCCTCAGAGATCGTCATAAAAGGGCCTTCTGAGGCCGTCGTGGGGGCCCTCAGATGCCGCATGGAGCACCAAACGCGGCTCGGGACACTTCTAGCCGGTGTGGGGGCCCCAAAGACTAGCATGGGGACTGCAGGGAGCTCCTGACCATAATTGGACATTCCGGATGATTGCACATCAGTGTTCGTTTCCCGATCACTGGTTTTCAGGAGAAAATGTATTGGATGGTGCGACGGGCCCCTTGCACAGATTTTCGGGGTGCAAAAAGATATGTTTGCTTGCGCCCCATGTTTTTCGATGGGGGTGCAGCTGCACCCCCCGCACCCGCTATTCCGCCGCCGCCACTGATCGCCGACCGTTTGATGCAGGTCCTCTTCCTGCCTACTATGCGATTTTCAGATGTATGGAAACACATTGCTTAGTGAACGAACAGCCCGATAATCTGTGAGAGAAAAAGAAAGGAGTGTTTGTAGCTGTTTGAGGCAGTAAATGTGAAATATGTCGCGACATTTTACGTGCAAACGCACCTTGCACTTAACACCTACCTATACACGTCCCTCATGGCTACAAAACGAGAGAGAGAGAGAGAGAGAGAGAGAGAGAGAGAGAGAGAGAGAGAGAGAGAGAGAGAGAGAGAGAGAGAGAGAGAGAGAGAGAGAGAGAGAGAGAGAGAGAGAGAGAGGAGAGAGAGGGAGGTAGGGAGGAAGAGAGTTGGGGGAACGAGGAAGAGAGGAAGGAAGATGGGGAGAGAAAGAAAGAACCCACAGCGTATCACGAGTGGGGTCTATGGTTGATATTCATACTTCCGCTTAGGACCCTACCAATGTGCCCCTCGTTGCGTTTTCGCAAAGTTCCCGATGCCCTTTGTTGCGTTCCCGCAAGTCGCAACGCGACCGTAGTCATATTTGAAAATAGTCACAAGCCCTTTTACAGCATGATTTCTTAACAAAATGCATTAACCTTCCAGGTGGTGGGTAGGGGCATTTTTTGCCCCCCCCCCCCCTTAGTTTTTTCGATACCTAGGTATATCTCGAGAACCGCTGCGCCGATCGTCACCAAACTTTCAGTACCCTCCCGGGAGTAGGTATAGCTAGCGCACATGGTGACCAATTTTTTTTTTCCAAAGGCTATGATAGGTTGGCCGCTAATGACGTCAGAGTGACGTCATTTTTGCCATTTTCGACCCAAAAAAAGGTTTCGCGGGAAGAGCTGTCAGGCCTACAGCTTTAGAGATACAGAAAAATGGTCCAGACATAAACGGTGTGGAATCAAGAGGACTACAAAACTGCCATTTCGGTTTTTCGAATTTTTTGGATTTTGACCCCCAAAAATCAAAAAAAATATTTTTTTAAATATAATAGCCGAAAAATCCAAAACGTTTTTTGAATTTCGAAAAAAACGGAATATATGTGATATTCCCTACCGCCTTCTATCCGCATACCAAATTTGAGATCAATACCTCTTTTTTGGCCAAGTTATAGCGAAAAAAAAACTGTTAAAAATTGATGACGTCAAATTTTCAAACTCAATTTTTAGCAATTCTAGACCTCGTAGCGCAAAAAAAAAAACATCATTAGACTCCCCGTGACGAGCTGCATCGAATCGATACCCATTTTATGCAAAAATATCAACTTCGAAATTTGACCTTTTTGACCTGACCTTGACCTGACCTCCACCAGAAAGTGACCTAAACCTACCTGATGGTCTTATAACCAATACCATCGAGTTGGAAATGAAAAACTGGCCATAAAACATGCATCGCACAACCTTAGTAAAGTTGGGTTCATGAGGTGACGCTTGGTGACCTTTGGTGATCTGACCTGTGACCTGACCTGCTATGACCAGTGACCTCTAATAGCATCATATGTATAACTAGACAACTGACGCCTTATCGCTTATTTTCGACAAAATGCGTTTTACTCGGTGTTATAGCGCTTTGCCTAGAAGCCCCGTGAACGGTGAAACATTTTATCTTTGACCTGACCTGTGACGTCATCGGTGACCCCGAGGTCAATGAAATTTGGTTTCTTTCAACAAATTTGACAGGGCGATCGAACGCCGTTTGAATTTTCCGGATCCGTCCAGCAGTTTCGGAGATACGAGGGGGGGGGGGCAAAAATGCCCCCACCGCCACCGCGCGGAAGGTGGCAGGGAGGCCCACCGCCTGCCGGGTTAAGCTATTGTTTTGTAGGGACTCTGCACGGAAATTGTTTACACAATCTTCATTACGATATTATTAGCACTTAGCCTATTTAGTATTTATCTTGTTTTTCGTGACGTCATCACTCACAAGACCATAGGTGTACGAACGTTTTCGAAAGTGGGGGGGGGGGGCAGGCTCCCAGAGGCACAAAACCTCACCTACCCCCAAAATCCATTTTCTCCTTGGATTTCGGCCACTTTATTTTCGCAAGCATGCGCAATTTGGTTAAAAAAAAAACGTGTCAAGAAAACAAAATCGACCAAAATCTCGGGGAGACTCCCGTCCAGAAATAAAATCTCATGGACGCGTCCCCCTGGCCTCCGCAGCCGCGTTGGCACCAGGAGCGGATCCAGGAAAACTCCAAGGGGAGGGTCATGAATCGAAGTAGTGCCCCTACCTATACCCAAAATTAAAACCTCAACTGATTTCGGCCACTTAATTTTGGTGGTGACCTATTTTCATTTTTTATTTATTTGTTTTTGCCCTGGCGGGCCTGTGGTGCCCTTGCTAGACCGCAGGTGCCCCTGGCAGGTTTGTGGTGCCCCTGGAAGGACTGTGGTGCTCCTTACGAGCCTGAAGTGCCAGAGACAGGCCCATGGTGCCTCTGCGAGGCCGGTGGTGCCCCTGCGAGGCCGGTGGTGCCCCTGCGAGGCCGGTGGTGCCCCTGCGAGGCTGCTGATGCCCCTGGGCCCTGACAGGACTGTGGTGCTCCTGACAAGCCTGAAGTGTCCTCGACAGGCACGTGATGCCCCTGACAGTCCCAAGGTGCCCCTGCGAGGCCAGTGGGTGCCCCTGGCAGGTCTGTGGAGTCTCTGGCACACCTGTGGTGCCCCTGCTAGGCTTCTGGTGCCCCTGACAGGCCTGTGGTGCTCCTGAAAGGACTGTAGTGCCCCTGGGCCCTGACAAGCCTGAGGTGCCCCTGACAGGTCCGTGGTGCCCTTGACAGGCCCAAGGTGCCCCTGCGAGGCCGGTGGTGCCCCTGGAAGGGCCTTTGGTGCCCCTGGAAGACCTGTGGTGCCCCTGACAGGTCTGTGGTGCCCCTGGCAGACCAGTGGTGCTCTTGCTAGGCCGATGGTGCTCCTGACAGGCCGGTGGTGCCCCTGCCAGGTCTGTGGTGCCCCTGATAGGTCGGTGGTGCCCCTGGAAGACCTGTGGTGCCCCCAGGCCCCAAGGGGGCATGACCCATGTGACCCCACTTTGGATCCGCCACTGGTTGGCACCCATGCGAATTCCAGAAGCATCCAAAAACATTTTTTTATTACGAGCGAGCGTGAAACGTGAGAAGTGAAAAGTCAGCAAAAGGTGTGTGTGGGGGGGGGGCAGTTAACCCGCGCCCCGCTGGGGGGGGGGCAGAATCTGCCCCCCCCCTCCCGTTTTTCGCCAATAACTTCTAAACGCGTTACGCCAGCAATTTCAAACTTACAGTACCTTATCATACATCAATTTGACACGTTCCCTGAAAATTTGAGCGAAATCCGTCGGAAATTTTTTGAGAAATTGACGTTTTAGTGACGTCATGTTCGTCATTTTCGCCTCAAAAACGGCAAAATTTCAAACGCCGCTAACATCCTCATTTTTAAAGGAATCAAGACGTAACAAAAAAGGTTATACGTGATTCTACTTTCTCTATCAAATGGCTATCTCGGTTTTTTGAAAATTTTTGATTTTGGCCCAAATTTTTCAAAAAAACTGACTTTTTTGGAAAAATAATTATAAAATCCAAAATTTTGAGTGTATCGAAAAAACCGGAATATATGTCAGAGAAGCGGTCTATGTGCACCTACATACAAATTTTTAGAAGAATCGGTTCAAAAATGTGGGAGTTATTCAAAATTTTATGACGTTACGACACACAAAAATTTTGAAAAATGATTTTTTTTTTTGAAGTTCTAGACCTCGTACGGGAACAAAAATAGCACCATTCGATTCGCCGTGAAAAACTGCATCAGATAGACACCTTTTTAGGCCTTAACAACCAACTTCAAAATTTGACCTCACTTGACCTGACCTTGACCTGACCTCGACCTGAAATTCATCCAGAGGTGGTCCATATCACTTATGGAGTGTGCCTATTGAATTCTATGAGTAAAATGACCCATAAAACATGTGTCGCACATGCCCTTTTCTATATTTTGTTTTTGGTGACCTGACCTGACCTGACCTGACCTTGACCTTGACCTTTGAATGACATTGTATGCAACGAACATTGTCTTGGTAGTCTAAGAACACGTTTTGGGCAATCAGTCTCAGTCTATTCTTCGGCAACTACGGTGCAAGGCCGATACTGTAGAAACTTGCATTTTGTACCCTTGACCTGACCTTGACCTGACCTCTGACCTACTTAAGCAAAAAAATTTGGGCTCTTAAGATCCGCCTTGTTGAGAGCTTTCGATTGCCGTTTTCCCCGTCTTTCTACGACCATCGGTTCGGAAGTTAGACAGGGGGGCAGAATCTGCCCCCCCCCCCCAGCAGGGCGCGTATGGCTGAATAGCCCAGCGGGGCGCGGGTTAACATTGCTGGCCCCCATTCCAAAGTGGGGGACCATTGCCCCCTGCCCCCCTGTTCCTACGCCTATGCCAGTAACCGATCAACTAATGCAAGGCCACCTAACATAAATTGTTAGTTTAGGCGCCGTTTACGCATTCTGCTGCGCCAGTATTGTCTCTCTTTGCAGCGCGCGCTGCCCCTAAGCTGCCACTTAGGTATTGCTTTTGACAAAGTTACCTTTCATTGGGTGGAGGAAAATTGCACTCAATAACGATGAAGCACAAATGGAAATAGGTATTCATGGAAGGGCAGGCCAGAGAACCGTCAAGTTTGTTCTTCGGGGTGATACCTACAAATACATTAAAAAGTTCGGCAAAAAGTGTGGGGGGGGGGGCAGTTAACATTACTGGGGCCAGTTAACATTACTGGCCCCCCACTATGAAAAGTGGGGGGGGGGCCACCGCCCCCCCCCCGTCCCCTCCCCACTGTTCCTACACCTATGCACAAGACCTCCGACTTCTCTCTGGGAGCTCTAGGCAGTAACTTACCGGCCGCACAGACTTAGTACTTATACGTCTGCGCATGATGCTACGCAGACGTTTCTTATAGGTATCTTGACGCAGACGTAACTGCGTAGCATCATGCGCACAACCATGCTACCACGCTGAAACTTGTCTCATCGGTTAGCCGCCATTACACACTTCTCAATACTTGCGTTGCGAAAACGCAACGAATGGCGTAGGGTAGACCGGGGCAAGTCGCCCCGCCGAGGTAAAACGCCTCACCGATGTTTCTCGGAACTGGCAAGGTTCTGGGGAAACATTCTCTCTTCTATAAAACGTGCACTATATGATTATTATATGAGCAGACTGGAAAGATATTGTGATAACTCTTTATTGAGATATAGCCAAAAATTTGTTTTGGAGTGATTTTTATGTTTTGTAGTCAGATTATGCATCATGGCGTTCTTTTATGGTTTACATCAGGTTAACGACTTTTATGTATTTTGAACAACTATTGTCTAGCGCTTATAATGCTGGGTTGGTCCGTTTTAAATTATGTCTTGCTGGAGTGCAAGGCGTTGTTCTCTGACCAAACTACGTGATGGGGTAAAACGCCCCAGTAGTTCACGGGGCAAAAAGCCCCATGGGGCGTTTTACCTCATGTGTTGTTCCGACCGTAGTAAAGTAATCTTGGTTCCGACTACCCACTTCCTAATGTTCGGTTGCTGGCGAACAGTAAGTTTCTATGCAATTTTATGTACCTTTTTCAGCAAATTAATGACAAAGGAAGTATTTCGTTAACATTTGCATTGCAATAATTTATTATTTGGCCTTATGAGGCAGGTGAAAAACCTGTACATACAATAGTGTCATAGCTGAACACCTGACAGGATGGAAGGTGCTAACTTCAGTGCCGTGCCTCCCAAGGTCTAACGGGCCTCTCATATAAGATTTAGTCAACTAGCCAGGGATGCGGAGCCGGCCAGCCGGAGCCGGAGCCGGAGCCGCCGGAGCCGGAGCCGCCGGAGCCGGATCATTTTACTCGGAGCCGGAGCCGGAGCCGGAGCCGCCATGACATTTCACCCGGAGCCGGAGCCGGAGCCGGAGCCGATTTTTCCCCCGGAGCCGGAGCCGGAGCCGGAGCCGTCTGAAATTTCCACGGCTCCGCATCCCTGCAACTAGCATGTTTAATCTTTAATCTAGAGTATGGGGCGTCTTGCCCCAGGCCGTGGGGCGTTTTGCCCTAGGGTTGGGGCAAAATGCCCCATTTGCAGTTCCTTCACAAATCACTTCCTAGCTGGGAGTCCGATCATAAATGAATGAATTTGAGGGGTGGAATTTAAAGTAAAATGTCCAAAGAACGCATTAGCACAAATTTGGCCTTCCAGGTGATGTGGGACAAAAGTTATGTAGCAAAATAAATTATCTGGGGCGTCTTGCCCCAGGCTACCCTAAATGGGAATGCTTGGTGCTAGGTTTCGTCCGATTACAGTATACATATGCGCGTTTTCATCGGTGACCTGTACATATATTTGACCGACCAATCACCCGTGGCAAGATTCCTTTACTACTCCCGTAGGGCTATCGGTGGACCCTACCACCCGTTGGGGGAGGGGGCGTTTCGGCCCCTCCCCCTACGGCCGCGCGGGTTAAAGGTAGTGTGCCACCTTTGAAAGATTTCCCATTTTATTTTTCCTAGGATAAGAACTATAAGAAGCTTCTGTTTTTACCTAATATCGCAAAAAAAAATCAAAAATGGGCCTGGAATAGTGCCTTTTTCGCCTAAAAGTTTTTCGGTTTTTAGATATGTATAACAACTGTAGTGGGCTCACCTGCAAACAGGCGTCGGGCAACAATCGCGAATGCGGCGCACTTGTGACAATAAGCAAAGGTCATTATAGTGTTACGACCATACGACGTATACGGGAATGAGTTATCAGCTGTCTAATCGTAGACAACACAATGTCGAGCCTTAAACTGTAAGCCCGTATTGGTATTGTTTCTTTTATTTGGCTGTCGAACATTATTTATGGTTTGAAATATGATTTTATGTAAAATAATTGATATGAAAAAGCCGTCTTATAAGTTATGACCCCATTTCACCACACGCAAGTGGCAGAAATGACAATGATCAGCTGACGCATTTTTCTTGGCCGAAGTCAGAGCGCGCGGCCCGACGCACCACGCGTATTTGGAAATTCCGACCTCGACGAGCATCAGAAGCCACCTAACAGGCGTGTTCGAAACCGCAGGAGATGATGATGAACGGGTTTATCGAAACTTGATTGGATGAGCATATCGGTAATAGCGATTTCAGTGTGTGCATTTATTGTTCATAGTGGTGTGAAATGTGGTTGGGGTACGACCGACAACCCGTCGGGGCGAATTTCGCACTGGGGTACTCAAAATTTGAAGAATTTAAGACGTTTCCATGAGTTTTAAAGGTATGGATAAGTTCTAAAAATCCGGTTCTCCTTATCTGGGCCATTAACTCCATACGGTCCAAGAAAGCTGGCACACTACCTTTAAACATTTTGGAACGAAATTGGGTAGGTATAAAGTAGTTGGCGCCTTTACCTATCCAAGATACCTCCTATCCACGGTCACATCATCACAAGTCACAACCGAACGGGTTTCTATTCCAGCCAGCCTAATCCAAGATTACTTTACTTGCCTAATCCGACTGAGGCAAAATAGCGTTTTCCCTTCACTCCTTATCGTGCTTCCAAATATATTTGGATGCATCATACCGTTTCAAATCTGAAGTTACTGAGACAAATAAAATCATCTCATTCATTCACAGCTGCTGTTTCAGTTTGGGGCTGCTGTGCGACCTATGTGTGGGACTAATTGTAATACCCGCGAGCATTTTTATATTTTTTAAATTCATATAGCTAAATAGCTAGATCAGCTAGATAAATGTGTTTTTTTCTTCGGCATACTGAGCATACTTTAATCTTTTGCTGCAGTAGCCTTTGATTTACTCGATACTTATAACAAGCCCGCCATAAACTGAAACAGTAACCTAGGCTAATTTGAATTGCGAGAGTTGGGTGGGAGTCCGATTGTCATAACCAGTCCAAGTCAGCAGTCCAGCAACCAGTCCAGGTCAAGTGAGCTAGGTACCACTATTTGTGGGTACCACATTGCTGCTGCTTCTGTGTATTCATTTCTTATGCATTGGCATCACAAACTTGTGTTGTAATGGGTGGTAAAAAGCAACCTCGTACGAAGAACAATGTGCAGGTAAGACCTATGATCTTGAGACTATGGGTGCGTTCTTTGAGCTGAAATCTCATGGCTCAGTCAGCTGATGCTTTTTTTGCCGTCCGCACCAGAATTTCGCAGTGCACTGGTCGCAGTGGCTTCATAAATGTAATAAACTGGGAGTTGTAAGACATGTACCTATTTATTTTAGAGTGTCATTTTTCTTTTGAAAATCTTCATCATTGTTTTTTTTTATTTCCAGGCTACACTGGGTATAATACAATTCATAAGAATTGGAAAAAATAAAATCACTGGAAACCAGTCAATGTAGCATCTAAATAAAGCTAAAATATTTGTTTTTATCATTTTTTTACCAAAGTGTAGCCTGATAAAGAAAAATGAAATTGAACATTATCAAAACAGCTGCAATGAGCCTCACAGCCCCCTCAGAACCAGTTTGTATCAAACACATTCATATTTCCTCATCCACTGGGCGTCGCCATCTTGAAAATAACGCTCCGGACAAGCTTTACTGATTCCTGTATTTCACGTGAAATGCCACGGGATTTCACTTGAAATTCCGCTTGGAGTCTGCAAGGAACGCCTTGATTGCCAATTCCACGTGAAATTTCATGCGAAATCTGTTCAAAGAATGCACCCTGTTATGCACAGCAGCATATGTGTGCTCGTGTGACGTCTGCCTTACTGGTACCCTCCTTGAGCTTGTTTTATGTACTTTAGTATCAAACATGAGGATAGCAAAACATCATGCCTGTGTAATAGGTAGGTAGGTAGCATTACTGGAAAGACTGAAGAGATGGACTCAGTGAGGTGGGGCAATGCCAGGAAAGGTGGACATGTCAAGGACATATACCTACCACTTTTCCATTGTTTTTGCTACATTTTCATGATTTGTTTTATTCTGAAAATGATTATTAGTATAAGTATTAAAGTATTATAGTATAGGGGCATTCCACGATAGATCGTACCACTTTTTTCCAATTTGACACCCTCATCTCTCGGATTTTAACGATAATTGGTCTAAGGGGTAATCAGGGGCTCTGAATCCTCCTGTAACAATTTCAGGCTTATCAGATGAGTGGTTTTTGAGTTATAGTGTATAACATGTTTTGGATCTTGCGTTGCAGCCCCAAGTTTGGCGGGCTGTAACTCTAAGACGGATAATTCAAATGCCAAATGCTATACTGCATTGAACTTGCATTGAAACAAAGAATTATATGCATTTTTAAAATTTTGGAATATATACTATTTTGATATATAACACCTCGAGTTTCCTTTCATTTGCATTTTTATGCCTTTGGGACCAAATTTTTTTGAATTTTTATTTACTTAAAATCATTTTTGGGTCATTTTTAAGTAGTATGCAAAAAATTAGGAAGGTGTTCTTTCTATAAATGTACTTTTTTGCGTCACCGTAATGGTCTCGAATTGTGATTTCGGAAGAGAGCCTATTAATGGTGTGGTAAAGCTGCCTAGTGACATCACTGGTTACTGAAAGCTCAATTGAAGTCATTTTTGCCTCACTTTTGCATTGTTGACCTTGAGTGACGTCATTCGTACGTCACTAGGGGTCATAAGAGTTTTTCGTCAATAGCTCTCGATCAAATTGAGCTAGAGAGACGGGAAAGCTACCAATGGACTCGGGAAGACCTTGCGAATCGAATGATGTGCGATATGATCTCATTCACCCAGCTTCGTGGCCTGACCCGACTGTTAACCATCTCTGTAGCGGCGCTGTTTGTCTAGCGCCGTGCTGGTTGGCTTTGCCGCGGACTCGGGCGGTCACGTGATGCCCGGGGGCTGGCTGCCGGCTGGGCCGCCCGGTCGGGGAGCGGAGCCAAATACACGGCAGTGTGCTGACCCGAGGTAAGCGACTTAAGCTGACCTCACCGAAACAAACAGTATACCATTCGACGCGCCGGAGCTAGGCAAACACAAAGATGCTAAAATCGCGGCTCTGCGACCATTTGTTGCGAAGTTATCTATCAAAAACCGGACCCGTAATTTGGGTCACTTGAAATGACCTCAGGGGTCACCAATGAACCCGAGACCTTAAAATGTGGTATCATTCGATGCATCTTGTAACGGCGCACATGCTCGTTTTTTCCGCAAGGTTCTAGCTCCATTAGAGGCGAAACGGCGAGCTGGGGTCGTACCGACCCCCCGGAAACCCATTTTGTGTACATTTAAATGAGGAACTTATAGAAAGAACACCTTTCTAATTTTTTGCACGTCGATTTTAAAGGACCTGAGGTTTATTTTGAAGAAATAAAAATGGCAAAAATTTTGGTCCCAAGGGCCATTATAGACAATTTAAAAAAATACTACGACTTTTTCAATATGTTAAGCTTTTCTTTCCAATTTTAAAAATACTGTATTAATCTTTGATTCATCGTTAGTTCAAAGCTGTTTACCGTTTGTTGCTTGCTTAGCTCGTTTTTGAGTTATAGCTCATCAAACTCACCCTTACAATCTGAAGTTTAGAAAATATTATGCAATGTTACTCAAAAAGTTTTCATCTGAGAAGTCTGATATTTTGGTAGGTGTTTTTAGAGCCTATGATTACCCCTTGTACCAATTTTCATTCAAATCTGAGAGATGAGGGTGACGGGCCTGGTACGATCTATCGTGGAATGCCCCTATATTAGTGTTAAAAAGGAATTTTACAAATATTTTCACATAGTAAGAATTATTTTCAATCTTTGGTAGAGGATTCAGATTCAGATTCAGATTTATTTGCCAAGGATCCACAACAATCGTGGCCTTTCACCAGACACGTCATATGATAAAACATCTGACATTGGGAGACGTGGGTTGCCCAGGCGGTCACAAAGCATGGGCGATATTTATCGACATAGGTTATCAACATGATCTTCATTGGCTTCTAGAGAGGATTGCATGTTTCACCTTTCCACGAAAGCATGCCGAGTGCGGATTTATTCTGGTGCGGTTCAGCATCTGAACTCTCCTGATACAGAGTCGGCGCGTCCCCGTCTCAGATCGGGCTCGCGGGTGCGTGAGTCTGCTCGCACTTCGCGTGTCGTGTTCGTGTATTTCGCGTACTGCTGGGCCGATTGTCTGGCTGATGTATTCGGGAGTGCCAGAGGTGATTGCTCGTTGGACAGTGCAGACAGCATGATACTCTGCCAGCTCGTCTGCTCGCAGCCAGCCTAGATGCCGTATGACGTCAGAGATGTGGTCACTACGCCTGCGGCCGCTGACGACATGTGCACAAAAATTAACTACTTTCTGAACACTAGACATCTGCGTTGCACCACACGACCCATACACGCTCATGCACTATCGGATGATCGATAGGACAAGGGCTTGCACAATAATCTTACGCGAGTTTGCAGGAAAAGAACGTGAAGAAAAGATGTTTAACGGAACCAAAGTTTCGCACGACATAGCGGCAAGGGATCCCATAGAGATAGGCTTGGGACTTCCAGGCCATTTTAGGCCACTCGGGGTCAGTGTGGGCTGTCACATACATACATACACATACACATTTATTTTCAACATTACAAATGAGCAAAACATACACAAAAATATTATAAGATTGGTGCAAAAGAATAAAAAATCTTAAATTAAAGCACCTCTCTTAATCAATCAGTATAAAATAAACATGAGTATTACATAAAAAACACAACATAATATGAAAACAAGTCTGTTTGACCACCGCCAAGCCGCGCCACACCCACCGCTCGCTGGTTGAAATTAAAGTTGCTACCCCCAGGCGACACGACGAACCGTCCGGCCCACCGTCCGCCGCTGGATGCTATTGGTTCTGGAATCTTTTAGTTTTGATAATATAATTTTGGAATAATTTCGCTACTTCTACGTCAGATCTGCTTAGGACCCCGAAGATCGGCGTTGGTCACCCCAAATATTTACGTGTATGTGGTGCTTTAGGGCTTTCAGAGCCCAAGGTGGGGCCCTCAGAAGCAAGTGTGGGCGGCGGGTGCTAAGAGACTAGGCCCAGGGTGAGTCTGGACCCCTCGGGTAACAGTGTGAACTGTCGGGGTCTGTGTCGAATCTCTAAGGACCCTACATAGGGACAAAAGGACCCTACATAGGAAGAAACATGTGCTGGGACCCTCAGAGGGACACGTCAGCTGTGACCCCTCAGATGCCGGCTTGGACTCGGCAAAGTCTGTCGCCTCAAAGGTTCGGCTGAACTATCAGAGGCCAGTTAAGGTTCTCATAAATTTTCGAAGGTATCCTCAAAGATCCGTGTGGCCCTTCAGAGGTCTACGTATGTGTAAGGTCCCCAAAGATCCCTGTATGGGCCCTCAGAGAATATGGACACCAGTGGGACTCTCAGAGGCCGGTTTGGGCCCTCTGAAGGTTTCTTAGAGCTCAGTGGAGGTCCTAAGGAGCCTGTGTGCAGTAACAGCGGAACACCTTGAATTAAGGGGGGGGGGGGCACAACCGACTTTTGGTCCCATTCTTTCCATGAAACGCCCATAGGGCTAATGTTGAAATGCTGAAATCAAGGTGGCACGGTGCCCCGGTTTCCCCCCCCCCCCCTTCCCGTTCCGCCGCCTATGCCTGTGTGAAAAGCAAGCTCATGAGCCTTGTGGCACTTTAACGGTACTTGAGTCGGTCGCAGACATTTGACAATAGTTGAGAAAGGCCCGAAGATTTAGTGTCACGTTTTGAACGCAAATTTTGTGTCAGTACTTCAAACCTTATGAAAATCGGCCATAAAATGTAATAAAGAACCAACTAGGAACATGGAATGAATCACGGCATTGACATTTCCGAGTTTGGAGTCGGAATCGTGAAGATTTTGGCGACTACGACTCCGACTCTGGCTTGAACTGTACCCTCCAACCGAGTCTGACCTCACAGGTATTCTCAGAAAGGTACCCTCCCCCATTTTCCCGACTCTTAAATATCATCGGATCTGTATCAATCTCAGGGGGTGCCCAGTCCGAGGTGAGGGGGGGGGGCAAGCTGCCCCGCTTGCCCCCCCCCCCCGTGGCGACGCTAATGCAGCCACCACAGCAGTAGTCATCTGCTTATCAGATTGTGACCCATCATCTGCCACCACTAGTCAGACTTGACATTATACTGGTGGCCCGTGCTGCAGCCATCCAGCAGCGACCGCCACGCCCAGCGGCTGGGCACCGAGCCGCTGATCGGCTTCAGTGCCCTCTCCGACCTGGGCTATGTGCCGGCGGCGGTGGGCGGCGCCTTGGATGACGTCACTATCGGGGGCGTGGCCATTCCCGGCCAGTTACGAGCTCTCCTCAAGAAAATGGAGAAAAAGGACGCCATCACCAAGGCTAAGGTATGCATTGGAATCTTTGTTATTTATTTTTGGATGAATGTTGGCGTTATCCACCTCGTTTGACACACAGCCAGGCATGAGTGGCCTCACTGCGGCGGTGCGCGGGCCGCGGCGTCTGTCCTCAGGCGGTGCAGGAGTTCGCCGAGCTCAGCGACACCCTGGAGCTGGACGATGTCAGGGCGGCCGTGCCCTTCTGGCCGCGGCTCTACCGTAAACTGGCCACCGACGTGGACAAGTGAGTCGTGACGCGAGCTGTGGGAGGCACGGATGGGTGTCCTGCTGTGAGAGTACTCGTACCCCTACCATTCTGCCGCGTAAGGGGCCCGTTCTCCCACCTTCCCGCCACGGCCAATTTACCGCCGCCAATTGCCGCTTCATTTCAGACGGCAGCCGACGTAAGGCAACAATCAGCGACTCTCAGCGATATGCTACAGGAATATTCAATTCAAACTGGAAGCTTATCTATGGGCTGGTGTGTACTGTTAGTCCCTGTGTACTACAGTGTCACACTACTGTACTGCTGGCTGACTGTCGTGCAGTCGGGGTGCGGCTGTGTTTGAAGTGGCTGACCGTCTCCGACCATTCACAGCCGGGTGCGCGAGCTGGCGCACGTGGCGCTGCTGCGACTGCTGGCGCGCGTGCGCCGCGCCGCCACGCCGCACATGAACCAGCTGGTGCCGACGTGGCTGTGTTGCCAGAGTGACCCGCACCCGCCGGCGGCCTCGGCGGCCCGGCGTGCCTTCCAGGTGGGCGCCGCTGTGGGCGGCCGGTGGGGCGGCTCGGACGGTGCGGGGGCAACGGCGCAGCTGGAGCGCCTCGGCAACGATCGACAAACTTACCGACGGGCGGAGGGGGCGGAAGGGAGGAGTTCAGCTGATCAGCCGCCTCTTGGTTAATTTGACAATGTCCTGCTTTTATCCCATGTTTGGCTTTCATGTACGAGTATCTAATGAGTAAAATCATTTATTAGTCAGGGAGTTGCCGAAAGGACAGCTGATCTTTGTGCTACTGAGTGGCTCGAGGCCATATGGGCCGTCAATAGTAGGATTGGCGGCCCCAGACCATTATTGTACCCGGTGCCACGTTAATGAACAATGGACCTGAATGATCCATGTCGAACAATAGTCAATACCTAGGACAGAGTGGTATTTTCGCGTTGCTTTGGAGATGGGCTGCACCAAACACGTGATTTACTGTGGGCTTCTGATGCCTTTTCGGTAGTAACTAATCTCTTCTGCCTGTTTTGCGTGCTAGCTACTACATTGACTGGTAGATTAGCTTCCGGTCGCATGACGGCTCAACACGAAAAATCTATGGTTTTGATCTTTGGACTGACCCCCATGGCCATATCGTTCAGCCAAACCCAGTAACCAGTGTTCTATTCCCCAGGGAACGTTCCCGGCCGCTGAGAAACAGACCGGTGTCGTCAAGTTCTGCTACTCCAGTGTTCTGAACCACATCCGGGAAGGCCTGTACGAACTCACGCCCCACACCTACTCGGACGCCAGGTACGAACATGTCACGGAAGGCGGAGACTATCAGAGGCTTTAGCTGGGACCACCAGCTGCGACTACAGCTGTCTGACTATCTGGGGTCACAGCGGAACTAACCAGGGGCCACAGCGGGGCCTATCAGAATTCACAGCTGGGACTTGGGAGTAGCAGTGCAGTCACAGCGCGGGCCATCAGCGGTTTCAGCTGGGAGGGTGGGACTATCAGATAAGCGGTGACTGTCAGCGGCTTTAGCTGGGCCTATCAGCAGTTTTACCCGGGCTATCAGCAGCTTTAACGTTGGTAACGGATCCAAATTCATATTGTAGGTGGTGTTGGGAAAAATCGCCGTCAGTTAGAGTTGCGTTTCGCTGAAGCGATGCAGCGGCACTTCATTGTGGCTGTCTTATACGTAGCAGCTTTTGAAGTTGCCAGCGACGGTTGCGGTCGCCGGTGACTGCGACTTGTTGACTGCAGGTGCGACAGCTGCTGGGGCGTGTGAAACGGCCACTAACGCTACCTAGGCTGCCGATGTTGTACTTTCAGTGCGATAGCTAGGCAGTGCCACTTATAACCGCGCACATTACGAATGGGACGGGACCGGTCGCTCCATTTCAGTCCCTGACCTAATACACATCGGATCCCTTTGTGTGCATGTAACGGCGCGTTCCAAACAAAGCCGGGCCGTCGCCGGCTGCGCGTCTGCCGGTCAATATATTCCGACATATGTGTGTGTGTGTCTGGGCGACTGTGTTTGCGTGCCTGCTTGCGTGCTCATGTGCTATTGTCTATTTATAGCGCGTCATTACTCGTTGATGTGTCGGCGCCTATCCGTGTGTATGCGTTTCCGTAACCATGTGTACTCGTATGCGCGACGCGCGTATTTCTGCGTGTCATTGCGTATGTCCATATATGTGTGGATTTAAATATGTGTGAGTTTTGGGCAGCGCTATGTCAACCGATGTACAGTCCACAGCAGAAGTATTGTGCGGTTTCAGTCATGGGTATGTTCTGCTTCTGAAGCTTAGGAACGATTAGCCAGACTGCAATGAAACTTTGAATGTAGCATACGTGCATCGTCACCCGTGCAGCTGCAACTTTATCTATTGACGTCTTCTTTTCGATCACTCCGCATTAAAAAAAAATTGCCAAAGTCAAAGCCATTCGTTGAGATTGGTAAAACCGCACATTACTTTAGCGGTGGGCTGTATGTACGTATTAGCCGTTTTCAAAAATGACCCTAGCACTCGGCGCGCCCTAAAGCTCCAATAAACAAACAACTGCCGGGCCATCTGGCGAACGCACCTAATTTGACCAAATCTGCACCAAAGCTCTTTTACAATAAATATCTTTATATGTCATTAATTTATTTCAGTGTTTTAATAAATAATGATGCCTGACAATTTGAAAAATGAGGTATGTAAGCATCTGTGCAACCCAAACTAATAGCTTTTAAGAAACACACTGAACCTGATTTGACCAAATCCGCACCAAATCTGCACCTAATCTGCACCAAATGTGTACCAGATAGCCGTCATGAAAGTCCATATCTGTCTAGCGTGTTTTCAATATGCGATTTGCTCATGTCAGGCAGCACGGTATCGGCCGTTGTACTTGTGTGCCCGTCTGTGTGTGTTTTCAATGTGTTGTGTCGGGCAGCGCGATATAGGTCGGTTGGTGTCCCTGTCTGTCTGTGTGTTTTCAATGCGTGTCTTTGTGTCGGGCAGCGCGATGTCGGTCGTTGTATGTCCCTGGCTGTGTGTTTTCAATGCGTGTCTGTGTGTCGGGCAGCGGGATATCGGCCGGTTTTTGTCCCTGGCTGTGTGTGTTTTCAATATGTGTCTTTGTGCCGGGCAGCGCGATGTCGGCCGACGAGCTGGAGGCGCGCTACGTCCGCCTGCTAACGGGCTGTCTGGGCGCGCTGCGGCTGGTGGCCGAGCTAGTGCCGCCGCCCCCAGACACGGACGGAGACGCGGCGCGGCCGCCGGCCGTCTCCGACCAGCCCCTGGCCGAGCTCATCTCCAACAGCAAGTTCACCAAGCTGGCCAAACATGCACACCCGCAGGTGACGAGGCAGTGGGCTGGGAACCGGAGGGAGCGGCTCACTGCCGACAGGACAGGTGCAGAGACCTATTAACGGCGGGGACAGGTGGAAAAGGCTAGTTATTTATTTATGTTAGTGTCAGTTAAGTGGACAGTCTGGACAGTCTTTGTCTATTGAACCGCCGTGTACCCCTCCCTCAGGTCCGCCGGGTCTGGTTCGGCCTGCTGTGTTAACCCGCCGTGTACCCCTCCCTCAGGTCCGCCGGGTCTGGTTTGGTCTGCTGTGTTAACCCGCCGTGTACCCCTCCCTCAGGTCCGCCGGGTCTGGTTTGGTCTGCTGTCGGCACTCTGTTCCCGCCGACCTCTACTGGTGACCGCCGCCGCGGCCCGCCTGGCACCGGCCGTGATGCACGGCCTCCACGAGCAGGAGCCGTCCGTGCTGAGTGACGCGTGGGACGCAGCCATCAGCGTGGCCTCCACCGTACCGGTGAGGGCGGCTGGGGACGGTGAATAACTGCTGCTCACGGACAGAAAGGGCTAGTTTGATAGTGTCACAGCCTTAACTAGCGCTCACTAGGGACAATAGAAGGCCAATATAGCTTTTAATCGTCCTGTACTTACAAGCCAGTGTGCAGCTCCGTCCGGTAAATCCGATTTAGCGTACAGTAGGTCTATTAAAAAAGTCCCCGGCACCAGTGGGCGCTGCCTCCGCTGAGCCGAACCTCCGTATGCCTGTCCCGTATCGCGCCGGCATCAGGTCAGGTAGGGTCAGCGGGACCGCTCGGTCCGGCCCGCGGGCGGTGGACGGGCGGCCGGTAACGCTTTCCGCCAGCCAGCTGTAGAATCCAACAAACGGGACGGCCACCGCTCAGCGCAGCGAAACCGGTGTTAAAGAATGGCAGTAGATGTTCATGGCCTGGCCACAATGATTATGAGATACTCATTGTTAGCCCGTGCCCCACAGGAATGCCTTAGACTTTCACGCCCTGTTGGAGGGGAAATGGGGATTGAGCATCAATCTTATACCTCAGCTTTGGACATTTAAGTGGCATTCGAAGTAGCGTCAAAAATAGCAAAAAGAAGAAGAAGAATACTTCTGCCAATTTTATATCGGGTTAGAGCCAGAGGTCATGGCACCAGAGGTCATCGGTGGTAAAATTTTGCTTGGACAGGGTGCGTTGCGCGCACCGGTGCATTGGGTTTCCAATTTCCATGGAAACATCAACAGACTCGGAAGCTCGCAACGCTAGCGTGGAGCCGAATTCATATCAACCGCCGCAACAATGCAGCAGCGCAGCGCAGCGTGCTGCAACGCGGGGCCGTGAAACACCGCCCAGGGCTATCCATGTGTCAGGGCAATCCAACCCACGTGATGGGCTCGGCCCCAGCGGAGCATGAGGTCCAGGACTCCCGCCCGGGCCCCCTGTCTCCCCCTAATTCCTGTCATCCTTCCCACTCTGAAATCGACCGAGCCTAACCTAATACAACAATCAGCTCGTTTACCGCTGTCTGAATAATATTGTCAGATTTAATTAAGGTGAACGGCTTAGCACGTAAATAACAGCAACTGCCACCATCGGTATTATGAGAAAACCAATTGCTTTTCCACAAACACTTAAAAGTTTTTAGCTTAAAACTTGCTTGAAATTAATTTTACCAGCCTCGTGTTCCTCTTATCAAAACGCTTCGAATGAATCAAAAGTTGATCTTTAAAGGTCATTTGAAAAATTTGGCCTATTGTTCGAAGACATGACCTGACCAGAAATTGTCATGATGCATAGCAGGATATTAGATCCGTATCGTGGAACTTTACAAACATTTCAGATGATTTCATAACTTAAGCATGTCTATCAAAAATAATTACGGAGCGAGCGTAGCGAGCGTAGTCTTTCCTTAGATTAACGGAAATTTCTGAGTATGAGCGGCCGGCCGGCCGGCCGTGGTCACGCTTTTGCGAGGCTTATATCTCAGCAACCACTTGACCGATTTACACGCGGTAATTTTTGTAGGGTAGCTTCATTCCTTCTACCAAGTATTGGACTATTCCTGATGCATGTGGGTGACCCCCTATGCACGTGCCACGTGCAAAACGAAGAGGTGTCCGTTTTGTAATTGTTGCAATATCTCGGTAACTACTTGGCCGATTGCGCTGAAAGTTGGCATGTAGGTAGGCACCCACTAGGCACTGCATATACATGTGCCAGAGTTGGGGTGCTGCTGCACGTGCGCACGTGCAGGGGTCGTTTCCAGATCTCGGGAACGGCTGGACCGATTGCGCTCAAATTTGGTACACGGTTAGGGACCGGTTAGTAGGGTGCCGTGCACAAGTCAGTTGGGACCCATTTTGCACGTGCGCACGTGCAGGGTGCCGCTTCCAGATCTCGAGAACGGCTGGGCCGATTGTGCCCAAATTTGGCACATCGCTAGAGACCAGTTAGTAGGGTGCCGTGCACAAGTCAGTTGGAGGTACCCCCTCGCAATTTCGCACGTGCAAGGCCCACCCTCTCGCTCGCTCCGTTAGTCGCCCCAAAAGGCGTTATACTGGTTATTACATGGCTCATATGTAAGCTGGGTGTGTGATCATGCTTACGAGTATGTTGAATGCAACTGATATTGTTCTGTTGGCCACAATTTCTATATTTAATTTATCCTCCCAGATTTCATATTTTTATTCATGACACATTGACGATGTGGAGAAAAAAACGATTGAGATACATTCAGTATGAGGAAGGGTCAAGGGTGCTAGATTCCTTCCGTCCTCGCTATCCTCAGGAAAAAACAATCCGCATCGCCCCTAGTCTTCATGCTTCCCTCTCTGGACTGGAGGTCACCCCACCAGCCAACCTGTAGTTGATGTCGGATCCATTCCAGGACACATAATCCTCTTCGGGTGACCGTTTGGGAGACGGCTGGACTGTCCCGACAGGGCAATCGTCCCACGGGAACAGTCTCGCCTCCGCAGATCACTGTGGCTGTCTCGCACAACCCAATAATTTTTACACCAGAGCATAGTTATGTCACAGTTCAATTTTCTCCCATTGACTTGAGCGATCTCAAAATTGACCCGGCCTTTCTGTCAACAATGTCAAACTTGCAAAGTAAACGTTTCAAATGCATATAGTGTTGCCCATTGAAATCGCTGAAAGTTCTAAAGCGATCGGTTAGTCGGTGTATTTAGATATGATGAGCACAGGAACTTTCCTTGAGGTAAGGTCACTTGACGTGACATGGTGTTATGACCTTGAATTGAAAGACTTGGGCGGGAAATGGGTCATTTGAAATCTTAAAATGCTAGATTTTAACAATAATTGCAAACACTATCCCGGCCAAATAGCGAGTGAGAAGGGAGCGATCCCCCAACCCCATGTTTAACTCCTATGATTGAGCTAGCTGCTAGAGCCTCGCGGAAAAAAAACGAGCGTTGGCTTCGTTACGTGACGCAGCGACTGGTACCCGATTTTAAAATATCAGTGACCTCTTAGGGCAGGTCAAGGGTCCCAAGGCATTCGATCGGTTTTTGGTAAATAACTTCGCAAAAATGGTCGCATTATCGTCATTTCGATACAATCGTGTTTTCTGTTCTCAGACGCGTCGATTTATACGCTTTTTTGTTTAGGTGAAAGCAATTTAGGATGTTTACCTGAGGTCAATGTCATGTTAGGGCAACACAGGTCACGAAGCTGTTGAAAGGAGGATATGTTGCATAAAAGTCCATTGATGGCTGTCCCGACTGGCTAGCTCATTTTGATCGGGAGTTATTGACGAAGCACTCCTATCACCCTAGTCCTAGTGACGTCATAAATGACGTCACGCAAGGTGAACAATGCAAAAGTGAAGCATTAAACCTTGCCAAGAATGTATGAAGTCACGATTTGAAGTGCTTGAGGCATAATTTTAGATCATTTCCGACGCCAAATTAACAGTTTCCATATTTCCCCATTATGCTTATTGACATAAGTGCATTGCGGATTTGCATCATTTTATAACCGACAACCGTGCAGAGATTTACTTAAAGGGACCCTCCCACCTTAACATTAGATTTGAGTTGAGATAGCCAAAATGGGGTCCCTGGCTCACAATTACCGGTTTCGGCACTTACAACATCGAGAAATGCCTTAAATCGGAAATATTGAATTTCAAAATTGCAGCATTTTGATTCAGAGGGGCTAATGCATAGGAATACCCCTCTGAATGTGTGACGTCAGCGCAGATATCTAACGATTTTTAAATGTTTGACTAAAACGTTTTGTAGCACGCGGTGGTATATGCTGCTTAGCGCGCAACAAATGCCGCACTTTCAAAAAAAAGTCGCTAGGAACAGCGGAGATTCCAAAAAGTAAACAAAAGTAAAAGTCTAATATCTTGAAAACCGGTGAATATTTTTCGATGAAATTTGGTAGATATTCGTTTTTGCTCTTTCTGAACCGAGCGACATCACTTTCATGCCAATTCATTAACTTTTTTGAAGGTGGGAGGGTCTCTTTAAGACGCCATGAAAACGTGGTTGATGTCAAATGATCCGGCTTGAATTAAATGCAAGGCGTATGAAATGTCAGCCTTCTATCATCAGTGTGCTTTGAGCAACCGCAAAAAATACATGGTGGCGGCATTCGCCCCTTCTCGGCAGGCGAGGGTTAAACCTCGCTTCGAATTATTGCAGATAATGATGCGACCGAAAACAAAGCATTTATCTGTGTCTAGAACGGCCGCTGACTTGTTGGACAAGATCTCCAATCTTGATTTGCTAGATGGGAATAAAATACTCGGTATGTGATACATATATACCCCTCGATTTGCCCTCGCGCTAACTCTATTTTAATTATCACTGTCGCTTTTTATCCGAGATGATGGATGTCGCCGCTAAACGGGTTGTTTTGTTTGCTTGCGTTGAATGGTCATTACTCATTACGGATTATTGAAGGATTATGATAAAATAGGAATGGGGCGAGGGAGGATATGCACTGCGTCTGCAGGTGTTTAATTTAGATCACAAAGGCATCATTTCCGGCATAGTGCAGAGTCGCTATCTTCCCCCTCCTCTGCACTGCGGCATCTCTGCGCCCCACACACGGCGTCCTCACTCCACGGCCGGCCGCCGCCAACTGACCCACTCGCCGGGCGCCGCAACCTGACCTGTGTCGCTGCCGCGGCCTGCGCAATAGAGTCAGGGCTGGAATCCGGGGGTTCGGCCGGCCGGCCGCCTCTGGAGCGGGGGACTTTTTTAGTAGACCTACTGTACGCCCTGTTCCGCCCAATCGGATCCCGTCAATTCCAGGCGGGCTTTGGGCGCTCCAGTGCCGCCCCGCCGCCTCTCCAGCTGACCGTCCGTCCGCCCGGTCTCACCCAGGACTGCTGGAGCCACGTGAACCTGCGGAAGGCAGTGCTGCCGCAGCTGTGGGCGGCACTGCGCGAGGGTGGCCGCGGCTGTGCCGTCACCCTCCACCCGCTGATGATCGTGCTGCTATCGAAACTGCCCTCGGATGTGGCCGGCGGCGACCAGACAGAGTTCTACCGGCTCTTCTTCACTAGTCTGTGCCAGGGGTGAGTGTTGTGGGTACCGGTAGGGTGGCTCTGTAGGTAAACTAGGGGTCTGTTCCCGTCGCTCCTCCAACCTCCTCCAAGCTCCTCTAACCTCCTCCCGTTTCAAAAAATCGTTCCCGTCGCTCCTCCAAGCTCCTCCAAGCTCATCTTGATTCCACATCTCACCACCACAATTTGCCTCCTCCTTCATCCCAAACGAAAGTTGGATTTTTGGAGGAGGTTCTGCGTAGACATATCTGGCGCACGTAATACAAATGTGAATTGTTTATAGGTAAATGAGACTTGAGGGAAGTGGAAATGATTTTAGTAATCGATGAGGATGGGATATCTTTTAATAGTAATGTTCGATATAAATCTATGGTTATTTTATTAGAAAGAGATTGTTACCTCAAAATTACTGTTTGCGCGCCATAAATCGCAGACCGTTACAGACCGCAAACAGCTGATTTCCTCGCAAAAATGTTCCCGTGGCTCCTCTGAAACGGCTCTCCTCCAAGCTCATCCAACCTCATCCGAGTTTTTTTTTGGGAGGAGCGACGGGAACAGACCCTAGGTGATTCCGTTGGTGGATGGTGGGTGTTTTTGCGGGGACAAATGTGTCAGAGTTGTGTCCCCGTTAAATCCGTCCTCAGTTTGCCAGTGGTGAGTTGTCGATTGTCTCTGTTTGTTGACACACGAAGTTTCAGATCAGTCCAGGACTCCAGGCAGAGTTAGAGCGATGTGTTGGTGCCTGCCCCCCCCCCCCGTTTGTGGATGGCGAGCTGCTGATTTTCCGCTGCTTTGCTGACAGGCTGGAAGTGGAGCGAGTCCAGCAGAGCCGCCGAGAGGTGTCGGTCATTTGTCGCACAGTCTGGGAGTGCGCTCTGTATGTACTGCGGAGCCAGCAGTGCTCCGAACAGGTCATCGCCGTTATAGTGGAACAGGTCAGTCGATCGCCCGCGGTCAATGTGTGCCAGCGTACCATTGGCCCTCCAGCCATCCCAATTTCACAACGGTCAACTGTCATTGTAAGTGCTCACCAGTCTGGGAGCGGTAGCAAATGGCGCAGTCGTGCTGATACCTTATCAAAAATGTGCTGGGGAATCTGGGTGTTTCTTCATGCGATGGCGAAACATGATTGCGGTTAGTTGGGTTATTTCGTCATTCAAATGTCAGCACTTTTTTCCGTACGATATTGTGGGCTTGGGAAATCTGAATGGTTTCTTCATGCGACCGCGAAGCATGATTGCAGCCAGGCAACGCTGCGTTATTTCGTCATTCAAATGTCAACACTGTTCACCGTGCGATGTCGTGTCGCACGCAACAATACGACACACGTCGTGGTCATATGTAAGCCGCGTGCTAGCGTCAATATGCAGATGTCTGCCGTGGTAAAGTGCAATGCAATTGCGGCAGCGCCGTGATAGGGCAAAGGTTTTAAATATGATTTAAATGCGGGCCACTCTGGTCTGCACTTTGGTTCTGTATGTTTGCAAGCGTACTTTTTATTGTTGTTTTAGTAGGTCGATGCCCTTTTAGTGCCCGATTCCCGGCTGTATTATAAATTTCAGGCTGCTACATAGTTGTGTTAACGTTGATTGGTCGACACTTCCCTTCCTACACTAGTGTTTATGGGCGCTTTGTCCGACGCGTAATTTCCTTCGATCGCTGAAAGCTTAGCAATGCCTTGGCAACCGATATACGCCCTCGGGCCGCTCCTGCACAACATATACGCGAACGACCTGCCACTATATGTACACTGATGAGTCCGCCGGTATCATCGCCTACGCAGATGACGTACAGGTATACGTTTCTGGCGCCTCAAAAGATGTGAATAAGCTTACACAGACCATGGAAAACAGTCTGACCATTCTTTCGAATTGGTACGGCTGTAACGGTCTCAAAATCAGCGCAGCGAAAACTCAGCTCATAGCGCCCGGCATCGGTGAGATGATCCGTCGTCTCCCCCCGGTCAGCGTTGACTTCTGCCGATCAACCATCACCGCCACTAAGTAGCTCTGTCAGGAATCTAGGTGTGTGGTTTGACAGCGATATGAGTTTTGCCACTCACACAGATGACGTCGTGCGTCGGTGCACTGGCTCCCTACGCGGACTGAGTCACAGTAGGCACAGCCTCCTACAGTCGGTGCTAGTGACGCTGGTCCAGGGCCTGGTGTTCTCTGTGCTCCGTTACTGTCTGTGTATACCAAATTTGAGCGCAATCGGCCCAGCCGTTCTCGAGATCTCGAATCGACCCCTGCACGTGTGCATGTGCAGCTGCACCCCAACTGTGGGACATGGAAATGCATTGCCTAGTGGGTGCCTTCGTACATGCAATGTTTCAGTGCAATCGGCCCAGTAACTACCGAGATGCATTGTTTAGTGGGTGCCTTACTAGTTACTACATGCAAAGTTTCAGTGCAATCGGCCCAGTAACTACCGAGATATTGCAATTGTTACAAAACTGACACCTATTCGCACGTGGCACGTGCATAAGGGGTCACCCACATGCATCGAAATAGTCCAGTACTTGGTAGAAGGAATGAAGCTACACTCCAAAAATTACCGCAAGTAAATCGGCCAGGCGGTTACTGAGTTATAAGGCTCTCAAAAGCTTGATGGCCGAGCCGGGTCGGGCCGTGCCGCTCATACTGAGATTTTTCCGTTTTATTGAAAAGGCTTCGCTCCTCCGTAACAAACAACATTGACGCAAGCCATTAATGAATACATACCATCGAGCTTTTGTAAAAAAGCGTACTTAATGCGTTTACTACTATTGTTTGGCTGAATTAATCGCGAAGACCGTGCCGTGTCGCATTATCGTATACTTATTGCCATTCGGCGTACCAGTTGAGCATCGATGACCGTGCTCCAGTGACCGTGCTTTGCTGTGGTGATTGTGGTCAGTAGTGACCGTACTGTGGTGACTGGTCAGTGCTGACCGTACTGTGGTGATTGTGCCGTGGTCAGTAGTGACCGTACTGTGCTGTGGTGACTGTGGTCAGTGGTGACTGGCTGTGGTGACTGTGGTGAGTGGTGACCGTTCTGTGGTGACTGTGGTCAGTGGTGACCGTACTGCGGGGACTGGTCAGTAGTGACCATACTTCAGTGACTGTGGTCAGTAATGAACGTGCTGTGGTAACTGTGGTGAGTAGTCAGTGGTGGTGACCGTGCTGTGCTGTGGCGACTGTGGTCAGTGGTGACCGGCTGCGGTGACCGTGCTGTGGCGACTGTGGTCAGTGGTGAACTGGTGACCTTGCCGTGCTGACTGTGCCGTGTCTCCGTTGCAGCTGGTGGCTCTGACGGGCGCCGCGGTGTCCGGCCCGCTGGCGGCCGTTGCTCCCCACCTGCTGCCGCCGCTGTCTGTCGGCCTCAACTCCCTGTACACGGTGTCGGCGGCGGGCGGGGGCGGCGCCGAGACGGTGGCCGCCGCGCAGCGGCTCCTCTGGTCCGCTCTGGAGACGGCCGTGCTGCGCCAGCACCTGGCGGCCGGCGGCGCCGGCGCGGCCGCCGCCGTCGACCTACTGCTGGCCGCGTCCAGCGTGTCGCCCGAGCCGCCGGCGGCCGGCCGCGCGCGCGTCACCTTCTCCGAGGGACCGCCGGCCGAGCAGGAGCCGCCGCCGCCGGCCGGGGAGCGGCTCTCGCCTCTGGCGCTGGCCGCCGGCTCGCCGCTGCAGGAGTGTGCCGCGCGCGCCGGCCAGCGGCTGATGGACGCTGTGCGCGCGGCCAGCGCCTCGGCCGGCCAGCGGCGGCTGCTGGTCCGGTTGCTGGTCGGCGTGCCGGGCGTGGCCGAGCGGGTGGCGGCCGGCCCGGCGGCGGCCGGCGGCCCCGGCCGGCCCCTCTACGACGCCCTGATGGAGCCGGAGCTGGCGGCCGGCGACTGTCGGCTCTCGGAGCAGCTGCTGCCCACCGTGTGGCGACTCTGTGAGCCCGACCAGCGGCTCCGGCTGGCGGAGCATGTCACCCAGGTACGGATACCGCGCCGGACATGGCCCGACTCAGCGCCTCAGCGGACCAGCTGAGCACCCGTGCTCCGTTTATTGGAACGTTGTAAATTATCGGTATTTTTGTAACATGTTTTGCGTGAACTTGGAAGTGTCCTGAGCTGATTAGCTATGGCTGGTGCATTCACTTTGTCTTGATCAATATCTGTCACCAGCGTACCAATAGCCAGCTGCTGTCTTACCTCAATGGAGCGTCGATAACACCTCTCCTGTCCCCGTGTTCCCCCGGCTCAGCGCGGCTACCTGTCTGTGGTGGCGGAGCTGCTGGAGCGGGCTGCCGAGGACCCCCAGCTGCGCGACTGGGCCCTGTCTGACGGACCGTTGGCCGCTGTCCTGTCTGCTGTTCATGAGGCGCCCTCGGCCGACAGCGCCCTCTGGAGGCACGTGCTGCGCGCGGTACCGGCCCTGCTGCGCTACCACTCCCAGCAGACTGACTCAGGTACGTATGGTGAGTGGTGCTGCCACTCCCAGCAGACTGACTCAGGTACGGTGTGGTGAGTGGTGCTGCCACTCTCCCAGCAGACTGACTCAGGTACGGCATGGTGAGCGGTGCAGCCTGTAGTGGTTAGTCGGGATGGAGGACGCACTCGGCAAACGAGGGTCATTTTGAGGATACATCTTAGTGTACCTACGTTATTGAGCTAGCTTTCAGACTAGTGAGCTTACATTGCAAACTTATTAGCTCACTATGCTTGTGTATCTTCATTGCTATGTATTTCATCACTGTGACGCCCCACGGTCCGTGTGCCACAGACCCGGCGGCGGCTCTGCTGTCGGCCGTGACCGGCTCGGACGGCTGGCGGCTGGAGCAGCTGGCGCCCCTGCTGGCGCCCAGCTGCCGCTCACCGGACGCCCTGCTGGCCGCCCACGGCGCGGCGCTGACCGGTGCCGGCCCGGCCGCCCTGGCCGCCCTGCAGGCGCGGCTGGTCGCAGTCGGCGGCGCCGCCTCGGACACAGCGCTGGCCGGCCAGCTGCGCGCTGTCCTGTCCTCCGACGGGACGCCGGCCGGCCGGCAGCGGCTGCGGGCCGCCACGCGGGCCTGGGGCGCACTGCTGGGCGCGGACCGGTTCTGCCCGCTGCTGGAGACTCTCCTGCCGGCCGGCTGGGAGTCGGACGGCCGCCGGCCGCGCGCGCAGCTGTGCCTGCTGCTGCGGCGCCGCGCCAGCCTGCGGCCGCCGGCTGCCTGCAGCGACACCGCCGCCGCGTCCGACGGAGTGGCGGACTACCTGCGGCAGCTGCTGGTGGAGCTGCTGGCAGAGTGGCCGGCCGGAGAGAGCGGAGAGACAGAGCAGTCAGCGACAAAGAGCAAGGGAGAGGCGGATCAGCCAGCGGCAGAGAGTGACTCAGAGCGACCGATCACAGCGGCGGCGCTCCGGTTCCTGCCCGACCTGCTGACCGCTCACGTGATCTCGGACGCTGCTGCTGAGCTGGAGGGCGCCGCCGACCGCTCCGGACTGCTGGCTGCCGAGAGTCAGCTGACTGAGCTTGTGACGTCACTGTCGGGTGATCAGCTGACGGCGCTCCGGCAGACGGTCACGGAAAGGTGAGAAGAGCGGCTGGCTTGGCACACCGCTGGGACTTGGAGAGGGGAGTTTGATATGATTACTGGTTTTTGCAAGTGGTGGGACTTGAATGGACAGCTCTGGTTGTCTGGCGGGCTCCCTCTGACCTCTCTTGACCTCATGGCGACCGGAGGTATGACTTCGGACATACTGGCCTATGGGACAGACCATGACTGACTGATGATTACCGGCCTGGGCAGATCATGGGTCCACTGGCGCTGTAATGACCCGTAACACACTAGGCTTAGCAAGCAGTTGCACTGACCTGCGGTCGATCCTTAGGCGCAGATCACTGGACCTGAGCGACCCCTGAGGCCTGTTGTGTGTTGGCTGACCCCCGCCGGTTTCCAGGGCGCTGTCGGCCGAGGACGGGGTGGACGCCGCCGCCCTGGCCCTCCTGCTGAGTCTCTCGGGCGCTGATCAGTCCGTGTCGCTCGACCAACTGCAGGACAACATTCAGCTCGTGCTGGTCAGTTCTCGCACACAGTTACCATTTTGGAATGAAGTGGGAATAAATTTCAGTATCAGGAGCTATTAATGTTGATCTAGCGTCGTCGTATGTTACGATTTATGATGTTTGATATGGTCTATTCTTAGTTTGATAAACTGCATTGCTGACTTTCAAACCTTAATTCATTGCCATTTTGGATAAAATTTTCATTCGAGCCCGTAGTTACGCGCCATTCTTTTGGTTGTTAATTTCTCGTCACTCAATTCTCGCCCACCCAGTTACCAGATGTCCCCGCTCTACCGTCATCTCCTGTCCCCCGTTTCCCATCCCTCCGACCCCCTGTGACTGTACCCACCCCTCCCCGTCAGCCGTGTGTGTCGCTGCTGCCGGACGCTGCGCTCCTCTCTCTGGTGACGTCAGCCGCCGAGGGCAGCGAGCTGCTGGCGCTGGCCGGCGCGGCGGCCGCGCTGCGCCGGCTGGCCGCCCGCCGCGGCGCCCCCTGGCTGCTGGCAGAGGCCGGCAGCTGCGTGGTGCGCGCCCTGGATGCCGTCGTGCGCGCCCGGGACGCCGGACTGCTGCCCTGCTCGTGGCTGGAGGCGGACGCCGACTGGGAGCGGCTGGCGCGGAACGTGGCCGTGCTGCGCTTCTTCTCGGCGCTGCTGGAGCACTGCTGCGAGCTGCTGGAGCCGGCGCACTGGGACGTCCTGCTGCTGGCAGTCTCCTCGTGGGTGGCCGGACTGCAGGTACGCTAGGAGACACTGGGACTGGTTGAAGAAGGGAACGGTCCACATAGATGGCGCTGGAAAATTGTGGCCTGGTTCCGAAGAACTCAGCTCTGACCATAGGTGGGCATCGTTCCCCAAAATTGTAATTTCGTTACTCGTTCCTCCGTTCCTTCAAAACGTGACTTCCGTTACTCGTTCCTCCGTTCCTCTGCATTTAATGTAACGGAAGTTCTTTAGTCCGTTACTCCGTTACAGCAAAATAAAAAACGTTAAAATGTTGTGTATTTCACACATTTTTGAGACCATTCTGACACAAACTAAACCTACCGAGAAAGCGGAATGCCCACCAAATCTGCCAAGACAGCGGGTACTGATTGAACACTAAACCTTGGAACGTCTGGTGGTACTGATGCGCATCACTTGTCCCCGGCCAGATGCCCGTTACCCTTCACGAACACTAGACGTTTCAGGTTGGCATCTGAGAGCATAGGCGGCGAAACGGGGGGGGGGGGGCACCGGCGCACCGTGCCCCCTTTGATTTTGGCATTTTAACATTAGCCCTATGTATGTACGTTGCATGGAAAGAATGGGACCAAAAGTCGGCAGTGCCCCCCTCCCTTAATTGAAGATGTTCCGCTGCCACTTTCTGAGAGGGTAGCCCTTTTTGCACGTAGCACATATTTTCCCATTGAGAACATGTGCTCTACTGAGGCGCTTAACCCTATTAGGGCAGGGGGGGTTGTTTTTATCCACCCCTCAGGTTTTTCGGGAATATCTCCGAAACCGCTGAAGCTACGATGCTGAAATTTTCTGACTTTTCCTAAAACTAAATTGGGCACATTCCCTGAAAATTTCAAGTTCATAACTTTACCAGGGGCGGCTCCAGAGCACTGGGAATTGGGGGTCCTATTCGTGAAGCGAGTCATTTGGGCGAAGATCACGATGCTGCACCAGTTTTACGAACAGTGAATGAAAGGTATCATGTGATAACATATACAAAGTTATTGTGCATCCTCTTTTGACACGTTTTTGCTATAATAGGCGGATCCAGGCGTCCAAAAAGGGGGGTTATTTTTTACCTCCCAACATAGGTGCCCTGACACCGCCTATGCATGACCAATACAATTTTAGTCATTCTCTCATAAGAAAATTGTAACATAACAAGACCATTGCCACCCTTTTTAGAAACAGTACCAACAAAAACCTTATTTACTATACTTTTTGTGTACCCCCAATCTCAATGATCTGTATCCGCCTATGATTTTTGAAAATGCATATTTTTAGGATCCATGTGAATTCCTGGTTCATTCTCTATCGATCGGCAAAAGTTGCGTTAAGATTGGTTCAGAAACCTGGCCGTGATAAACAGTCTAAAATGTATCTGCAATTTGCCCGTTTTTACCCCCCTCTACCCCCCTATTGACATTTTTTAATTTTTTTTTTTTAGAAATGTAGATCTCGTTGAGCCAAATCGAATGCCGTTTGAATTTTGAAAATCGGCCGGTTAGATCTCGAGATATCAAGGGGGGGTCGTAAACAGCCCCCCCCCCCCCCCCTGCCACTAATATGGGGTAGCCAGGAGCCTGCCACTAATAGGGTTAAAGGGACGCCCGTGTTGAACTTTGCGAACACATACTGCAACGCCGGCTCATTGCAGAAGGCCAGTACACTGAGGCCATCTTCCGTCTTCAAGTCAGGTTCAATAATCTGCTCAATAATCCACTTTTCCGCTGCTGCATTGATGTCTGTGGGTTAGCTGAAATATCAACCTGCCAGGACAACGAAAAGTAACGGAGGAACGAAGGAACGGACTAAACTGTAAAGTGTAACGGAGGAACGAACAACCAATGTAACGGAAGTTACTTGGTCCGTTACCCTTTTTAAAATGTAACGAGTTCGTTCCTCCGTTCCTAAAAATTGTAACGGCGTTCCGGAACGGAGGAGCGGAGGAACGGATCGTGCCCACCTATGGCTCTGACGGACTTCATTTGAAAAAAAAAAACTTGCAAACAATATCGTTTCATTGCAGCGTAGTGCACATTTCCCTCGAGGCATACGGTTGATAATTAATATGGCTGACTCTGACTCTGTACTGTACTGTACAGGGCTTTAAACAGGTGCTCAACTGTAACTGATCTACCATTAGAGTAACGCTACGCATTTTTGTCGTTACGAGCCTCTTGACTTCCCTAACGATCTTTCCTTTCACGCCGCGGCAGGAGTCGTCTGATAGCGCCTGCCTGCCGGCGGGCCGCGGGGTGGGCGCCCCGGTGCTGCTCCACTCGCTCTGCTGTGCCGTGGAGGCGGTCCGTGCGGCAGTGGGACGCTGCGCCGAGCAGCACCCCTCGCTGTCCGGAGAGTGGGACGAGCTCTACTCGCCCGAGTGGTACCGGGCGCTGGTCAGCGTGTTCGCGACAATGGCCACGGGTGAGCGGCGAGATGGCGGTGGGAAGCGGTGGGACATGTGATATTGGGCTGACAGATTGCTACAGACACCTAGTGAATGGACTGGTACATTAAGTCCAGCTAGTGTGTTCAGAGTTGCTGCTGTGATATTAGGTGCTGTTCGGAAGCCTTCTGGTGTACCTATCTGGGTGGTGTCGTTAAATCACTGTAGGTATGCCGTTTGCCTGCGGTAGCGGACCAGCTGCTGCTCGGCAGCTTGCGGTCCCTCCGGTGGCTCTGGACTCTCCTCTGACTCCCTGCCCGTGTTTCTGCAGACGGCGCTGCGGGCCGGTCGGCGGGTCCGCTGCTCCAGGAGGCCCTCTCGGCCGTGTGCGCGGTGGTGGTACACGCGCCCACCGCCGCGCTGCTCCACCATGCGCTGCCGGTCCGGGTGGACTCGCGCCTGGAGGAGCGGCACCTGTCGGCCGACCTGGTCACCCTGCTGTTCTGGTGGCGGCGGCTGCTGACCTCGGCCGACCGCGGCGTCCGGCTGGCCGCCTGGCACACCATGCACCGGTGAGAGACGACGGTCCTGCTCTAGACCAACTGTTTTGTGTGCGCTATTTGGGACTCGTCCTTCCCAGTTCTTTTGTTCCAACGCGACGTTGATTCCTCAGTGTGCCGCCGTTCTTCCGAATATCCCAGTGACCGATAGTTCCACTCGTTGTTTCCCGTCAGGTTCCTGCCGCATCTAGCCGAAGCGGAGCAGAACCGACCACATCACGAGGACGACAAGGACGACCCGCGCCTGACGCTGCCCACGCTGTTCAGAGCCGTCATCGACCAGGTGGGTGGCATGAATACACCATGTTGCCCTACCTCTCACCTACTTTTGCTTAGGTGCTGTGCTTATTTGCACTGGTTAAGGTGACATAACGAGTGAACAATGTCTATTTGTATTCCTTAGTTCGCGTGGTGTGTATTAGGTGCCCATGCAATTTCGTTAATGTCCGTGTTATGTTCTGGACAAATATTAGTTCGCCCCAGTTTCTATGAATGCCCGGTCTAACTGATGCACAAAGTACTTAGACTTAGCCCCGTCGGCACACATGTTGCGTATTCAGGCACTCTCTTGGTGGTAAAGACGTTATGTGTCCCAGAATTGTGTTGTACTCAGACCGCGACCCTCTCCTTCTCGTACAGACGGAGTCTCTGGTATCAGTCCCCGGTCAGTGTGTTCTCAGACAGTATGTGTCCCTCCCCTTACAGATGGAGCCTCTGGTGTCTGCCCCGCCCCCGGACAGCGTGTGTTCTGAGACAGTATGTGTCCCTCCCCTTACAGACGGAGCCTGTGGTGTCTGCCCCGTCCCCAGTCAGTGTGTATTACTCAGTCTCCTTCCCGCACAGATGGAGCCTCTGGTGTCTGCCCCGCCCCCGGTCAGCGTGTGTTCTCAGACAGTATGTATCCCTCCCCGTACAGACGGAGCCTCTGGTATCCGCGCTGCTCTCGGAGCTCTCGCCCGGCCAGACGTGCCTGGTGGACCCGCACACAGAGAGCCACCAGGTGGTGCTCACCCATCTGATGGCCTGGCACCTGGCCCTCTCCTTCACCGGACACCAGGACACCCAGCGCAAGGTCATGACCGCAGAGGGGCTCAGGTGAGTGACACCAGGCTTATACTCAGGGTATATTATGACTGAGAAGAAACGAGTGTGACGCACCGTGCCGTGAGATTACGTTTCCTTTTTTTACAGCAATGAATTTATTCGCTTATAGCTGGCCGTGTTTTGACGTTTGAAACATCTGATCAGGCTGTTTTGAAACAGTATTCATTAACGTCCACCTTTTAGGGCACCTGGAGCGTTACTCGTGTATATCAGTCCGGTCAGTGACGGTTCACTGTGAGCCCGCCTGGCTCGTTTTGATGTTGTTTACGGGCGGCCCGACTATCGTGGCCATTTTTCAGCCAGGAGCGTCGTCCGCACCCCTTCCACCCGAGTGTGATATATGGCCCATCGTGCCTCCAGGGGTCGTCGAGCCCCTGGTGATGTCCGTGTGTTTCGGCCAGCTGCGGTGGCAGCGGACTAAATTGGCATTCTGTCCGAATGGCGGTTTGGCTGTTAACGGTAGCTTTATTAGGAAAGGTAACCCTGGAGAAATATCATGAATTATCATGTGCTGTAGGAAACTGCCTAATTGTGCGCAGCGTTCAAAAGAGCATGTCCAAATGACAAGAGAACTTAAACTGATTTAATATGCTGGAAAATAGTTTCTTTCGGCTACACATTTCATTTCTCAAATATGCTTTTGATCCGATGAAAATGGACTTTCATTTGATGTTACTTTGATCGTGAGTAAGTGACGGATGTGCCACCGTGCGCTGGCCAGCGCTGGCTGGGCCCGGGCAGTCCATCTCCATCGGTTAGCGCTGCGGCCGCCGCCGTCCATCTGAGTCGGCCGGCCGTGAGCGAGCGGCCGATGATCGGTGGCCGTGTCGCCGTGGTCCGGCCCGCGCCGACCAAGTTGGACGACCGCCCCGCCAGCCAACTTACCTCATAAATTCGCTGGCGCCGGCGGCCGGTGGATCGGCGCCCGGAACCTGGCTGAGCCGCCCCCGCCCCTCCCCTCCCCCTCCCCCGCCGGGCGGGACTGGGCCGGTGTGTTTGTCAGCTCTCCACCGGCCATCGCTCGGTATTAGCCGCCCGATCCGATACGTGCTCCGCCTACCACGTACTCCGCCTACCACGGTCCACGTATCCGATACGTGCTCCGCCTACCACGTACTCCTGCTGACGTCTGGTGGGTCCGCGCGGCGGGCCCGGGGGGTGGGTGACTGCTGCTCCCCGTCTCCCCTGCACCCGGTGTACTGTGTGCCGTCACAGCCGTGACGGAGCCCGCGGCGTGTTACAGGCAGGACGGGTCGCTGGACACGCTACTGAACCAGCTGTTCTGCCTGATGCCCGAAACGCCTGAGGTGCCCAACTCGTATGTGGAGACCAGTGAGACGTTCTTCGAGCTGGAGCTGCCCACAGTCGTGACGGGTAGGTGAATAATCACACTCTTCCGTCTCCTCCCTTTATTGCGGTGAGGCAGGAGATGGTGTGACAAATGGCTCCCTTACTGCGCTACAAGAGATGATTTACACAGGCAACTCCTCAATATTTTCATTAGTTTCTTTGTCGGTGTTCCTGATTACTTCACTTTGCTGGAGAGCCATATTTTCCGTTCAAAACACATTTTTCTTCTGGGATGGCTCCAACTTACGGAATGGAAAGGGTTGATTGCAGGCGCAATTTTATTGTATTGCATATTTCATTTTTCATTATGAAACCGATCCGTGGGATGTGTATTGAAGTTTCGTTATATAATCGCTCTACTGCATCTATTATAACGAGTTCCGCAAAGTTTTCGCCCCGATGGACCGGCCTTCCTGGAATACCGGTGGTCGCTGGTGTGTGGGCGTCTTTCTCTGGCCGGGCGCTATTTCGGTGTAATGTAGCGTAACTCGTGTAATGCAGTGTACTGAGCTGCCCCGGCACAGACCAGTAATGTGTTTTGTCTGTGTGTGGTCGGGTACTGTAATCTCTGGCGCTTCAGCGGGCGGCCTCCATCGGTCAGTTTGTTTGGTGTTAGCACGTATCGATGTACGGATGGTGTTGTCCTTTTGGTGTTTATTGGTGTTTGGTTGTGTGGTTGACATCGCTCAGCCGTCTAATATTCCACCAGCATGTCATGTGATGGTATGTTGTGTGTTGTGTTGTTGTCGTTCCATCCCTTTCTTTTGGTCTGCTGACCTGGTGACGGTGACTGCGGAAAATCCTTCTGTCATAGAATATATAACCTCATTGTGTGTGTGTGTTTGTTGCCGTCCTTCCTCCTTTCTCTGTGTTTATTTACGCTGTGTGTGTGTCGCACACCAGGCGGCCGTTCGGCCGAGGAGGTACACCACTGGGCGTGCCGCACCTACGTACAGCTGCTGCGCCAGCTGCCGGTGCTGGCGCGCGCCTGGCGCTCCGGCTGCGAGCGCCAGCTGGCGCAGCGCGTACAGCGGCTGACCAGCGAGCACGTCAGTCCGCTGCTGCTGGCGGAGGAGTTCCGACGGCTGCAGGCGGCCGACACCGTCACAGACAACATGACCGTGAGTGGACTGGGGTGGGACGGACGGAATGTGTCGAATTTTCAACAGCCTTTCAAAAGAATGTAGGCAGGCGCAGGCGCAGCTATTATGAAACTTATTAAGGTCTGCTATTTTTTTTGCATCCATTTGGTTTCCTAGTTTCAATTTATGATGTGAAACGTTGTACTTGGTACTACTGAAATGAAGATACGCACATGCACATGCTTTCACAACAAATATAAACAAACTGCCGGTCACTGTCTTAATAATTATCATTGTAGCGAGTTCTCGGCTAACTCCCTCCCTCCCCCTGACCCAGGTACGCGCCCGTCCGTCGGTGCGCGAGGTACTGGCCGTATACACCATGGAGGAGGCCAGTACCGAGCTGGTGGTCCGTCTGCCGGCCGACTACCCTCTGGGACACGTGGCTGCCGACGCGCCCGGCCGCCGGGTCGGGGTGGCCGCCGGACAGTGGCGCATGTGGATGCTGCAGCTCACTACCTTCCTGACACACCAGGTGAGACCGCGGAGAGAGAGAGAGAGAGAGAGAGAGAGAGAGAGAGAGAGAGAGAGAGAGAGAGAGAGAGAGAGAGAGAGAGAGAGAGAGAGAGAGAGAGAGAGAGAGAGAGAGAGAGAGAGAGAGAGACGAGAGGGAGAGAGAGGGATGAAGGGAAGGCGAGAGATAACTGGGACGGAGAGGGAGGGTGTGGGCTGGTGTCCTTGTCTTGGAAGAGAGTTGATTATTTAATGAAGGAAGCAACGGATGTCGGTCTTTTCTCAGAGGTCTGTGCTGATATCGTTAGTTATTTAGGGCTAATTTCGTCAGCTTATGTCTGTCATAGTTGACATCGTTAATTCGTGCCCGTCGGTGCAGTTCATCTCGTTAAGTCACATCCGTTGGTTCTAATGTCGTTACCCTGTATCCGTGGGGACTGACGCCGCCACCCCGCTTCCCCAGAACGGCAGCGTCCTGGACGGCCTGCTCCTCTGGAAGCAGAACATCGACAAACGCTTCCAGGGAGTGGAGGAATGCAACATCTGCTTCTACGTGCTGCACGGCACCAACTACCAGCTGCCCAAGCTGGCCTGCCGCAACTGCAAGAAGCGCTTCCACCCGGCCTGCCTCTACAAGTGGTTCAGCACGAGCAGCAAGAGCACGTGCCCCATGTGCCGACAACTGTTCTGAGCGGCGCGGGGACCCGGGGCCGGCCTCGGCTGTTGTTGTTGTTGTTGTTTTCTCCCCTCGGCGGCAGGGTCACTGCCGCGAAGCCTCCCGGCTTTGAAGTCGTCTGGTCGCGGCCGCCAGGGCCGCGACGACGTCCGCGCTCCGAATCTCCCCGTGCGACGGGTGTATGGTGCCCAGCAGGCGGAACCTCAGGTTCATCAGGGCTGGGCAACGCAGCAGAACATGCCCGGGAGTGTCCGCCTCCTCCCGACACACCGGACATCGTCCCGCTCGGCATCCATGGTCATTGCAGCCAGGGCACTCCACCGTTGGGTTACGACCGATCCTGTGCATATACTGGGCGGAGCCCGACCAGTGGCCCGCCCGCAGCTGATGCACCTCTACAGCCGCGTGGCGGTCCAGACGCCGTTCCCTGGCCGTCGTCCCCTGTGGCTCACACGGGACGAAATGGAACAACCTGCGGCCTGACTGTGGTTTATTGTCGCGGTCGTGGCCGGAGCGACTGGTGGGGACTGTTGTGGACAGATCGATAGGGGATGGCGTGCCAGTGTGAATCTATGAAGCGTTTACAGCCCAAGCGCGGATCGCTGTGCGCCTTTATCACCTGTTTGTGGTTATCCTCGCGGGGCCCGTCGAGTAGGCAGGGAGATCAATATATGACTACTGAGCTGTGCTTTATCGTTTGTAGTCTGAATTGTCATCTGCAGAGAGTTTGCGGGACTTTGTGCTTCAGCGATTATGTGGGTCGTCCAGTCTGAAACCCGTGAGGGCTACATCAGCAAATGATACTGGCGCCGGAGATATGTTACTTGTGAATATTGCAGTTTATTTTGATAAAGTCTGTACAATACAATGTCGCAATCACGTTGTACGCACACGCAGCTCTCAAGACAACAAAGGCACACAACCTGGCACATTTCGCGAAGATTTGCGTTCTCGAACTTTTGTGCAAGCAAATTATAGAAAGATACTGTTCACACACATTGAAAAGCTATCCAATGAACAATTGAGCAGCGGAATGCATTTACACATTACATGATGCAAGTTTTCAAACAGTGCGATGGGCGATTTTGGCATCACGCATTGCGATACAGCACACTGATGCGAGCTGCTTCTCACGGTAGATATAATCTGGGGTGAAAATTCGGGCACAATATCGGCTGTATCGCCATCATAAAGCGCGGCACCCGCCATTGAACCGTTATGATGGCCTCCATAAACCATCATTGCTCCCTGTTCGGGCGCCACGGGAACTTTCACACTTCACTTTGAAGGCCTCCCGTCGCCCTAATGAAGATCGATCCTAATCTCAATATGAATGTGCTGCCAAATTGACGAGCACTCATCTGACTTCATCGAACAAAAAGCTGGCGCGGGCCGCCGCTGCGTTTGATCAGCGCTGTCGGCGGACGTCGGCACTGGCCCGGCTTCTCACCGAGTTCCGCTGTTTCAGCGCGCCTCCGCCGCGGCAGCGGGGAGCGGCGGACAATAGCCGTCACGACGGCGGCGGCCGGGCGCCGTCCCCGGCTCCCACCGCCGCCAGCTCTCCGGAGACGCGCCGTCCCATCTCCGGCGCGAGCCATTCACCGTGGCCGCCCCGCCGCGCCGGCCGACAAAGGGCCCGCCGCTGCTGACGGGGTCCGGTATACCACCCCACCCCGGCCGGGGAGCCGCTACACGGAGCCGCGTTTGGCGCCGCCGGCCATCCGCGGCCGGAACGCGGTGATGATTTCCTCCACGGTGGGACTGGGCGTCTCTACCGTACCGGAGCGCGAGAGCAGGTGGGTGCGTCGTGAGGAGCGCCGCCGCCGCGAGCCCCTGCCGGCACACAGGCGGGACAGCTCAGCCACGGACTGACCATTTCTCTCACCGGTTGTAATAACTCTCAGACCTCTCTGCATCCACTTTCAAAGCAATTTTCTGCACCTGTCAGTAATATTTCCCTCGTCTTTTATTTAATTATCTTCCCTCACTTGCTAACGAGCATTCCCTCACATCTAGCACGTTTAAAATGTCATCACCTCTCTGTGATTATCCCCGTCGTCTGTCGGTAAATGTTAATTATATTGAGCATAGTTACTATCCTAACCAGTCATGTAACCATTCCTCTCCCACTTCCATAGGAAGCCGTTCCGCTCCCACCGCGCGGCTCTCACCTGCCGATGGGCAGCGGCAGCGGTAGCCGTTCCGCTCCCACCGCGCGGCACTCACCTGCCGATGGGCAGCGGCAGCGGCGGCCAGCAGCTGTGGCACCGGCAGCTGCACACGCTCGTCACGTCGCCGTCCGAGGCCTGCTGCTCGCGGCGCATCAGCGTCGAGCCGTTGGCCGTGATGACGTCTCCCTCCAGACGCACCGTCTCCTGGGCCGCCTGTGGGCACGGCGAGACTGGTCAGTCCCCGGGGTGGGGTCATACGGACCAGGTCAGTGACCGGGGTGGGGTCATACGGATCGGTCAGTGACCTGAGTGGGGTCGGACTGACCGGGTCGGACAGACCGGTCAGAGTGACCCGGGTAAGGTCACAGCGACCGTTTCAGTGAGCTGGGTGGGATCAGTGATCGGGGTAGGGTCATACAAACCGTATCGATGACCGGGGTTGGGGCGAGGTCACTGGTCAGTGACCCGAGTTCCGGGAAATACAGAACCGACAGATTACCACGGACCAAGGTCGGCCGATTCAAACAGCCAGACTAACGGGAAAGTCAAAAGATAAAATATCCGGGATGGCGACGCTACAGTCGTATATTTAATCTCTACCTTTTAATTAAAAATCACTATAACATCCTATCGGGAACTTCCGGTGCAGCCCACATAAATAACACTCACTCTAGCCGGACACGAGGTTCCGCTGCCGTTCGTGACGCCTTTGGATGTGTGATCGATACCAATCCTGACACCATATAGCGAGGGCTGGGCTGTTCCGGCCGGGGACGGGCGGCGCTCCGGCCGGTCAGTGTCCCCAATTCCCACCGTCCTCAACTTTCCCACCCCGCGGTCCTCACCTTCCCCACCCCGCCATCCTCACCTGAAGCGCCTCCGCCTCGTCCCGTTTCTCGTCCTCTGTGTTCATGGTGACGAACCGCAGCACGAGCAGGTTTAGACTGGCCGCCACCACGGCCAGCCCGAACAGGATGAACACCAGCGCGAACGCCACGTAGTCGGGCCGCGTGTTGAGCGCGTTGTCCTGCTGCAGCGCCACCATGTCGCCGAAGCCGATGGTGGTGAGCGTGATGAAGCAGTAGTAGACCGAGTCGAAGTAGGTCCAGCCCTCCTCGCGCGAGAAGGCCGCCGCGCCGCCGGCGATCACCAGTACGCTGAGTGTGACCACGGCGCAGATGAGGTCCAGCTCAGAGGCCTCCTGCGAGCCGCAGCCCAGGAAGCGTTTGACGGCGCGGATGACGATAGAGCTGGCGCGGTTGACGCGGTCGCCGATGCTCTGGAACATGACCAGGCCGAGAGGGATGCCGGCCAGCGCGTAGCACATGGTGAACACCTTGCCGCCGACCGTGCGCGGCGTGGAGTGGCCGTACCCTGCCGGAGGAAGGGGGGGGGGGGCGTCAGGTAACTGTGAGGGAGGACCAAGGGGAGAGGGGATTAGTCCAACTTTGCGGGAGAGTAGAGACATAAATGTGCTAAATAGTGTATTTATTTATTTATTGCACTGTAGTAGAAACCAAGGGGTCAACTGTTTCCAGCCTGACCCGATGAAGAAAGGCACGGTCTCTTGGTACCCCAATGGAGAGAAATATGTCCAATTGCCAATTTGTATCTGCCAGAGCGGAGATTAGAACGAAGGGTCAGTCGTGTTCAGCAGCGATAAGGGATTCAATAATACTGGCCACTCACAAGTTGTCCCTGCATGTTTTAAGGTCGATTCATTCCTGTGGGTGTTTTGAGCAATTGTCAGTCTGAAATATCTTGGAATTATTCAGCAGGGTGCCGCTGTGAAATACGCCCCGACAAAATACGTGGCGCCAGTCACCCGTCCGCTCACCCGAGCTACTACAGTTCCGGCGGGATATCGTACTACTCGTCAGACATTTGTCTGCTGACATGGCACACTAGGGTCTCCGAGGAGCCACAACTTCACCCCGACCCGCGCGTCTGAGGCCACTCGTTTCGCTCCTCCAGAACGTCAGCTGGGCCATAAAGTTAACAAGCTTTCGCAGAAGATCCACAGAAATATATATGAGCGCTCTTCAGAGCCAGCATGCATCTCAACATAAACCCAGCGACGGTGTCCTAGAGCACGACATACTCTGGTTTTAAAACCAAGCCAATCTCTCCCAGCAAATCCCAGTACCTCTATACTAGTCCAGCCTGCCCCGGATACTTTTATTGCTGAGATCTCCATCTTACGAGGCCTGTGCGAGTTCAACGTCCGTCTTTACTCTGGGCCGACCGAGACCCAAATCTCCGGTGCACGTCCTGGGAGCAGAGCCGACCTCTCTACACGGCCGTTGTGGCGTGTGTGTGACCTGGCTACTAATGGACGCGTCTTAGAGAGCAGAAGGGCAGGTGGACGGAAAATTGGACGGACAGTTGATGAGACAGTTGCCCAGACAGTTGGCAGGATAATGGACGGGCAGTTGGATGGAGAGTTGGCAGGGTAGATGGCCGGACAGTTGGACGGTCAAATGGACGAACAGTTGCACGGACAGTTGAGCGGATAATGGGACGGGCAGTTGGAAGGATAAATGGACTAACTGTGGGGCGGATAGAAGGACTAAGAGCTGGACGGACAGTTGGACGGACAGGGGGACAAAAATTGGACAGTACGGCGGGTAGTTAGCTAATTGCAGGACATTTGGCCTTACAGATAGATGGCTGGGAAGTTCGAAGTGAAGTTGATCGGGTTAGTTGACCGTGCCATGCCGCTTTTCTGTTCTTTCCTGTTCCGGTACGATACAGTGTCGGGTCGGTGCACTAGTTCAGTCCGTCTGGTGACCTGAGTGACCGTGACTGCAAGGCTGACCAATAACCAGTAACCACTGTCCACGGACCGGTGAACGCTGACCGTGACCACTGACCACGAGAGACCGGACATTGATCGGTCACGGTGGTTACAGGCATAGCGTCTCAGCACTCACAACACTCAACGACACTTCAGACAGAGGTGCCGTTTGAGTGTCATGCTTGGCGAGCGAATGCCGTTTGGGTGTCGTGAGTCCTGTGAGTGCCGTATGGGTGCCGAGTGAATGCCGTTCGGGAACCGTGTGAATGTCGTTTGGTTGCCATGTCAGTGCCTTTCCGGTGCTGTTGCAGTGTGAGTGTCGTTTGTGCCTATTGAGTGCCATGTGGGTGCCGTTTGGGTGTCATGTGAGCGCTGACCTGACATGTCTGCCTAACCAGAACCGAGAGTAGACACTGAGGACCCCAGAGACACAACTACCTAACTAGACTGAGACCCCACTCCAGTGCAGCTCACATCTCATGCACATCCCGAGCTAACTAAATGGACGATTTACGCAAAATATGCTCCAATTACATAGACGGACCAACAAATAAATACGAAAACGCTCCGACTGCCCGCGATTTATTCTCTCCATAAGCTCTGCCATCGTGCCTATCGTTAGTCTGTTGTCTGTGCTAATAGTGATGCATGCTCGTTAGCAGCTCACCCGAGGAGTCTCCTATTCCGGCCAGTTGATTTGGGACGTGCTTTTATCGTGGGTCGCAGGCGTGCACTGCCGGCTGCAGTACACTCGTAAATAACGTCATGTAGCCGTAAAATCCCAGCCGCCGGCAGTATACGGGGCCGCTAAATTGGGCGACCGTCTGACTCATGTCACATTTATGAGATGAGTTTCACAATGGTTACCGGGAATTAAGCGCTATTTCTGCAACGCTGAAACATTTTGCCGCACTTGATCCGAATTGGATTGACAGTAATTGCTGTCCAAGTTGTGAAACGGTCAACATTACATTTTTAGAAATAAAAGCGCACGTCAGTTGTCTACTTTTCGACGGTGGTATCTCATCTTTTCATCCTGATCTGCTTCCCATCCCCCACCCCCTCAAAGCCAACCGTGACCGAACTGAAGGTAAACCACGACCGAATCGGAAGTAAAGGCAGGACTGGAATAGACCAATTCACAAATAAGAGAAACACCGTTGCCCTACCGTAAATCTCCAGGTGAGGAATTGTTCATTACATATCTGCGCGCAGCTTCGGACGGTGGTGATATTGTCGGCAGCTGTCACCTACCTGTCACTGGTACAAGTGGCAGTGACACTGACGGTATAAGGGTTACAAAGACATGCAGTCAGTGACAGTAGACTGCTATCTAACGGCAGCATGGTGAGTAGAAACTGTTTGGAACTGGCAGAGCTGTCACATGCACTGTCCCCTACTGATGGTGGTGACTGCCGACAGCTGTCTCATCTGTCACATATGTCAACCGTCACCTCTGACAGTTGACAGTTTGACACCCACTAATGATGGTGACTGTCACAATGTCACATCTGTAACCTACCGATGATAGTGACTGTCAACTGTCGCATATGCCACATCTGTCACCTGTCATGCCTTTTCATCTGTCACATTTGATGCATGTCACCTACCGATGGTGGTGTCTGTCATCTGTCACACCTGTCACCTACCGATGGTGGTGAGCTGTGACAGGTGACACTCACCTACCGATGGTGGTGAGCTGTGACAGATGACACTCACCGATGGTGGTGAGCTGTGACAGGTGACACCTACCGATGGTGGTGAGCTGTGACAGATGACACTCACTGATGGTGGTGAGCTGTGACAGGTGACACTCACCTACCGATGGTGGTGAGCTGTGACAGGTGACACTCACCTACCGATGGTGGTGAGCTGTGACAGGTGACACCTACCGATGGTGGTGAGCTGTGACAGATGACACTCACTGATGGTGGTGAGCTGTGACAGGTGACACTCACCGATGGTGGTGAGCACGGTGATGGCGTAGTAGAAGGCGCCCGAGAAGCGCCACTGACTACCGCCCTTGAACGGCGCCGACTTGGTCACCATCGTCTCCACGATGCCGTAGTCGTCGTCGGTGATGTTGTATTTGATCCGGATCATCGCGCTCATGTCTGCAAACGGACAGCACAGTCAGTGGGTCAGAGTTCCACTCCTTGGGCCCTTATACTCTACATTGGCAGAGGCCAGAGCACATGGACAACGGCCGGAGGGCTATTTCATGACGATGGTTTTGAGATGATCTGCATGTAATGCATATTCTCACCATACTAGCGTTTATCGTGTTTTACGAATATACTGGAAGTGGTCGGATTAGGGTCGAGTAGCTTCCATTAATGTTACGCCGCCAAAGTCAAATACGTAAAAGAGCCGTCTAAGTTTTACGGATGGTTCTCTGAAAGGTCGTTGTCCGAGCTGCGGCCAAAGAAATTATTTGCCCATCTTACACCTGTCGGCAACGGATCGCCGTATGACCGATGTAGCGCTGCGCTGCCTGTAAATCGTCATGACCCCACATCGCCGCGGGTCGTTACCGCTGCGGCGTACGACGAATGAGCTGTCGACAGTGCGGGAACCGAGTACGTATATACATACACTATACATCAGTGGTGGACGTTACTGGATAATGCACCGCAAAGGATCATGGAACGCCGTCGGTGGCCGGTGCCGCCGAATCCCGGGCCAGGGTATGACTGTCTCCGTCTGAACGGCTCCCCTCGCTCCTCTCCGCTCTCCTCTCTCTCTCTTTCTCTCTCTCTCTCTCTCTCTCTCTCTCTCTCTCTCTCTCTCTCTCTCTCTCTCTCTCTCTCTCTCTCTCTCTCTCTCTCTCTCTCTCTCTCTCTCTCTCTCCTCTGCCTTCTGTCCCGTTCCTCTCTGCACGTTTGATCTCTCATAAACGACTGACTGCCTTCGTCCGCAGCGTTTCATGCCGAGCAGGGCAATCGGCACTGAAACTGAATGGGTAGGCTGTACCGCAGCACACTGGTGTATGGCGGCACAGCCTATCCTCATACAAACAGCATGAAGTTGTGCTGGCTGTTGGCGTTCGCTGAGAACTTGGGGGACACTGGGCATGTAGGTAATTTGGCAGTGGACTTTGGGCGCTGAGGCGTCTCTATTGCAGCGCTGGTGGCACTGTTCTGCTTCTCCACTTCACTAACGGTAGGTTTCCAAGGTGCAGACATTTTCATGCTGGATGCAATTTTAATCGCGGCCTAATGTCAAGATTGAACTCCTTGAAATCGGTACAGATTGGAGGAACTACTTCAAAGTATCTGGAATAGTGGTTAACCGCGTCTCAGGGAAAGTGGTTGCTGGGAACATGACAGTCTGCGCTGCCCAGCACTCGCTGGGATTGGGCGCCCTGGCAGGGACTGCAGAGTCTGCACTGGGTGTCAGTCAAAGCGGCCGGCTGGTGGCGTGAAGTCCGCAGTCTAAATGCCCAGTTGGCAGCGACTTCAATCACTTGGAGAGAAAAATAAAGGGCCAGGGTAGATTTATTTGATCATAAATCGATGTGATTGGCAATAATGGTTAAGTGATAATTGATAAATCGACCTTTGATTAGAGATAAATGGTGTAGGTACCTAGTTGTATGTCGTGTAAACAAACATTGGAACGGTTTAGTCGCCTTCTTCAGTGATCAGACCCCTTTTGGATCGATATCGCAAGATAATTGAAACAAGATAAATGCCAATAATTACATCGCTATTACATGCCAAGGAAATTGGCTATACCTACTGGATAAAATGTTTAACTGCCCGTAAGTATGAGAGCGACGTTAAACACAGCTGTTTCACCCACGAACGGTTAAGCGTACACTCATATGGAAGGTAACAACCATATACTGTATGCTCAACTGTACGATCAACTGTACGGGTAACTATCCATCAAAATGTCTGGCGAAATGCTCGGCTGCTGCAATAGTAACCGGCGGCTGAAGTCAGGTTATAAACCTACCGTAGAGGAAAGTGCAAAGGGCGCCTTCACTTCCACAGCAGCCCCAAGTTTTATTCGACGCGACGCGCTGGCAAGTGGAAAAGATTTATGATCTTTTGCTTGGTTGCTATTGGAACGACCAACAGGCGGTCCGACCTCAGTTGGGTCAATTGGCTCATGGCTGAGGTTTTCTTTTATGCCTTTGTCTTGCACTTTGGAGTCTATGGAGTTCACTAACGGACAACGGTACATTTCCACTGTCCACAGTTCCTTACGATTACTGAACAGTGAACATAATCCGATGTGGCGCCCAGCCAACTTTTATAGCGCCATCAATCACAGGGCGGTGGCGTCCAAATGAGAGCGGACTGTCGTGTGTTCTTGTCAAACTTGCAGGCATGCTTCGAAACCTTACGAGGCACGGTGACAGGTGCAGGAAGCATAGTGACATGGGGCCTAACATTAAATCTTATCTGCATTCTGCACTATTTAGTATTTAGCAATGAATTGCAATTATTCTGAGACTATATATATGGACCGATGCTGTGAAATATATCAGTCATTTGCCTCACACCTTGTCCCGAGTTCGCTGTACTTCTAAATTCATGCAGTTGGTCAAAAAGTTCAACTTAGTAACCACTGTAACCACTGCTAAATATACGTGTGACTTTATCTTAGGCATTTTACATCGTACCTGATAACGGTGGTGTGTCCGCGTTTTTTGTGTCCCTCTTGTGGATTCGTGTGGTCGCATACATTGTGCATATCAGCACACGTTCGAGTTATCCTCCAACAGACTGTTATCGTCCCAAAGAGCGGCGTCAATCGCTGGGTGTCGGGCCGGACGGGCCAAATATGCGGCGACGCCGGCTGAATGTCTGAGATCGGACCGCAGCGGAAACCGCGGCAGGGTCTCGATGACAGCTGATCAATAGTTGGTCCCTCTTGAGGGCCGTGTTTACGGTCACGCCCGCTCGGCTCAGTCAAGTCACGTCGCACATTGCTGATGCGATTGCCGTGCCTTTGCTGCCCAGTTGGTGCACAAAGCAGCGTTTTGTTATCCCACACATAATATCGTGTGAAATGATGTACAGAGCCCGCATATCAAATATCAATTAACCACGAAACACAACGCCGAAACGGTGATTTAGTGATGTCAAATGACAAAGGGAAAATGGCTCACATATCGGTAATGATCAAGTACGATGCTGCATTTTTTATGTTGTCGAAGGTTTCACATAACGGGGTATCTATTTACACACACAAACCTGAGGTGATTGACTGCTTGCCTGCCTGCCTGCCTGCCTGCCTGCCTGCCTGCCTGCCTGCCTGCCTGCCTGCCTGCCTGCCTGCCTAACTGCCTGCCTGCCTGCCTGCCTAACTGCCTGCCTGCCTGCCTGCCTGCCTGCCTGCCTGCCTGCCTGCCTGCCTGCCTGCCTGCCTGCCTGCCTGCCTGCCTGCCTGCCTGCCTGCCTGCCTGCCTGCCTGCCTGCCTGCCCATGCCTGACTGACTGACTGACTGAATGAATGAATGAATGACTGACTGACTGACTGACTGACTGACTGACTGACTGACTGACTGGCTAGCTGACTGACTGACTGACTGACTGACTGACGACTGACTGCCAATACTCACTGGTGAGCAGGTGGAGTGTTTTGATTTCGTGCTGCGACTCGAGCGAGTCGAACACGGCCGCTCCGACCAGCAGGTAGGTGAAGGTGCACACGATCAGCGATAGCGTGCGGATGTTCTGCTTCTTCATGACATGCTGGGCCGGCCGGCGGGAGGTGGCGGCCCGCTTCGCTCAGACCGGGGGGCGGCGGCGGCCCGTTCCGCTCAGACCGGGGGGCGGCGGCCCGATCACAGCTACCTGAAACGTACGATTTGTCCGGTCAGTCACGCTAACGTCGCTCGCGGCTCGGTTTATCTGAACCAATCAATTTTCGCATAGAATCTAAGCTCAAAATACCGTCCATCGATGTATATTTTGTCGATAATTGTAGCTATTTGTGAAACAGATTTTTCTGCGAGGAATTGATTATCCCCCTACGATGATCATTTCACCTTAGTTCCAATGGCTTGAGTCATGGATTGATCCTTCTCCGTTTTCATCCAAACAACTCTGATCTTTCGAGGGAAAATCCCCTTTATCGCCACGCCTGTTACTTACCGCTGAATTAGCGTCCGCCTCTTAACCCTCGCCCCGTTGGGGGGGCCATTTTGGCCCCCCCCTGTGGTTTTTCCTGAATAGCAAAAAAACGGCGGCGCGCAGCGCCGCCAAATTTTCAGTACCTTTCCGGGCATCAATTTGACACCTTCACACCAAATTTCAAGTCTTAGGTCACCTTAGGTCAGGAGTTATTGAGGTCAAACTGAGGTCATGTTCGAGCAAAAATGAGCAAAAAACATGCAATCTTGAAACGCTCACCAAATCTACAGTTATCAAGCAATTTCAAAGTTCTTTATATGGTCTAATAGAAAAAAAGCGGCGCTACAAAACTGCTATCTCGGATTTTCACAATTTTGGGTTTTTGACCCAAAAAATTTCAAAAAATTGATTTTTTTAGAAAAACTAAAAAAATCCAAAATTTTTCAGAATTTCGAAAAACCGGAATATATGTGATAGTCCCTGCGCTCTTCTATATACATACCAAATTTCAGATCGATATCTCGTTTTTTGGCCAAGTTATAGCGAAAAAACTGTTCAAAAATGATGACGTCAAATTTTTGAACTCAATTTTTAGCGATTCTAGACCTCGTACGGCAAAACAAAGACCACCATTGAACTCCCCGTGACGAGCTGCATCGATTCGATACCCATTTTATGCAAAAATATCAACTTTGAAATTTGACCTTATTTGACCTGACCTTGACCTGACCTTGACCTGACCTTGACCAAAACGTGACCTAAGCTGGCCCCAAAGGCTGCCTGACCCACATAATTGCATTTGTCATGTAAAATGGACCATAAAACATGTATCACACGACACTTTCATATTGTGACCCCCCAGTGACCTGACCTCAGTGACCTGACCTGGTATCAGTGACCTCAACTAGCAAAATATGTGTTTGAAGAACATTTCCCCATCGATGATTTTCAATGAAATGCATTTTACTCGATTTTACAACGCATTTCTTGAAATGCCTGTAAACGGTGAAAATTGGACCTTTGACCTGACCTGTGACGTCATCGGTTTGACCTAGGTCAATAAAATTGGGTCACAAGGTAGTTCCCTGATAGGGCTATCCAACACCGTTTGCCGCTTGTCGCTACGTTGCGTGGTTCTCGAGATCTTAGGGGGGGGCCAAAATGCCCCCCCCCCCAACGGGGCGCGTTGCTCGGCAGAGCCCAACGGGGCGCGGCTTAAAATGTCCTCTTCAATCCTCCGAGCTGACTCATCACCTTCCTCCCTTCACCAGCACCGTCAGTGTGACCGAGTCAGACCTCGCACGGATCCACACCTTCCTTACCACACCACACCGCCCTCCGTCGGTCACCGTTCGGCCGTCGGCTGGGCGGCAGCGACTGGCCGCTCGGTAGCGGACCTCGTGCTCCCTGTCCGGTCTCGGCGGACCGGGGAGGGCCGGCGCGGCGGGCGCAGGCGCCGGACCGCCGGGGCGGGGACTCGATCGACCGGTCCGCGGATCCCGCGCGAGCGTGTTCGCCGCCGCCGCAGACTCATCGTCGCGCTGGTAAACATGCGGCCAGATCAGAGCGTCGGCACCATATTACCGACCGGCACAAATGACCGCCGATAGTCGCCCACTGCGTCCATCGGGTGATGAGATCCCAAGAAAGTCAATCGACGGTGTGGTAATGGTTGTTGCGTTGTCTTTGGTGTTTTATGATTATAAACGAATGCCCCGTTTACGTTGAAACGTTTATTTAATTGATGCATGGTTTCATATAATAAAACATTATGTTATCAATTAATTTTTATGTTTTCAATTCATGCCTACTTTTTCGGGTTGGTGACAATTATCCGAAAACGGTTATGATTCTTATGAATTATGCTCGGACGACTGCAAACGTCTCAAGGTCACCTGTGTTTCGCCTTTGGATGTTGGGTCGAGCGAGGAGAGACCCTCCTGACCACGGGCCACACACGCACGGCTCAGGCCTCAGCGACTAGTTGCTGTGTCGGTCCCGGATTTCTGGACTTATCGAACCGTACCACTTAAACGTCATTTAAGCATACAGGTTGTCCCACCCCGGCGGTACCTTGAAAGCTGCAGATGGTTAATTAACTCTTATGGTCGGCACACTCAGTAAACCCTGTTTCTTCACTTAGATAGTATATTCATGATACAAGCGGTACCTACTGAAAATGACTTACGGCTGCGAAGCGTTCAACGAAGCCGTTTGTTCAATAGACGTTTACAGACACCCACGCACTAAAAATAGCCGCGAGTCGGATACGCTGGTGAGAGCAATTTCAATTCTGCCGTACCTACAACATGGAAATTTAATTATTCAATTCTCAAAAGGAGACACCAATGTTCCAATTGTGGGAACAAGCCATTGTTCTATTGTTTGCCTTCGGTGCTTTCAGCGTCGACCTTATCTTCCTTTTCTTTCTTGTTTTTGGAGCGAGATCGGAACAGCGCCGCGTCGACTCTGTTCGGTGGCAGGGTTCGGAAGCTGTCGCTCACTGACCATCCGCTAGACGGCAGCAGGTGCGGGGCGATGAGGGTCATCCAGGTCTGCGAAAGGGTGACACAGTCTGAGTCGTCTCATCAGACGGTAAATCATATGATTTCATTTCATTGATGAACCTGCTGTACTCCAGACTTCGGAGGCTCGTATAACATGCCTACCTTCGCCATGTGCCCCAGGCCATACGGCGTGAACTTCCACTGCCACTGCGGCAGCGCCAGGTGCGCCAGCAGCATGCGGAAGTAGTCGGAGAAGGTGTCGGTGAGCCGGTGCCAACGGCAGGAACGGTCCAGCAGCCATACGGCGGCCGGCGCCGGCGGCGGGCCGCCGGGCTCCGGCCGACAGTGCGCCAGGCACACTGAGCCTGGCACACAGACGGACAAACGAGGGGTCAGGACGGGTCACACCGAGCTCAGGGCAGCCCAGAACGGCACCACCTGATCTGCCCCCATCCTACACACAGCACCTGCCCTGTTGCACAACCGCCGCCGGCCCACACACAACAAAGACCAGCTGGCCCGACCCTCCACCCTCACACGGACTGCACCTGACCTGTCCACCGTCCTATAACTTAAAACACGGAGCACCCCCTATATATCACGAACCAGATGACCTGTCGGCTGTCCCTCCACCTTACTCAGCACACAGAGCATCTGACACGTCCCCCTGCACAACACGGAGCACCTGTCCAATGCACATCCCTCTTCCCGTCAGAGGAAGGGACACCACCCGTCCCTTCTTCCGGCGCTCACCGTGCTCGCCGCACCTCTCCAGCTCCAGCACCAGCCACCGGCTGCTGAGGCGCGGACACGGTGTCCCTCCGCCGGGGGACGGCTCGGCGCCGGCGGCGTCCACCTGGGCCAGGGGCTCGTCAGAGCCGGGCCGCAGGCCGCCGAGTCGGCTCAGCTGAGCCAGCGGCCGCAGCTCGGCGCGGCCCACCTCGAACCGGTCACCTGCCGCATGTACATACGGACCGCCGGACGTCGTCAACGAATCATCCAGGTCAACTAGAGATATGCGGCGGGAGGTGCTCAATGGTTCCTGACTGCCGGAGAAGTTGTCTGAGCAATGAGCGAGGGATCGCTGTTGGCGTCATCTGCAACTTTTTCTGGAAGGGAGGAGATTCTAGATCATGCACTCTGGGTACCTGCCCAATGCCATTCGCACCCACTGGCACCCCGTGTCCCGTGGTCCCCTCGCCGTACCTGCCGGCACTCGGTAGTCCCAGGCAATACGCAATCCGTCTGTGGCCAGGTAGAAGGCGCGCAGGTCGGCGGGCAGCTCGGTGGCGTAGCGCTGCTCCCAGCCGGCGATGGCCAGCCCGTCTACCGGCAGACACGTCTCGACACGGACGTTACACACGCCCGGCACCGCTGCTGCAGAGACACGGGTCACGGACGATGAGGTCGGACGGGTCAGGTGAGGAGGGTGCCCACTGCCCAGTGCCCACAGAGGACGATGCGTCGATGAGGCTCCGCATGCGTCTTAGGATGGCGCGGCGCCATGCTAAGACGCATTGAGCATTCAGTGCGGTACTGTGGTGCGGCTGCGTTATTCGTTATTCGTTGCCTCGCATGATGTAATGTAACAACCACGTGTGTCGCCGGCCGGCACGGGAGTCCCCGGGCCGGCGCAGACCGATTCGCGCGCCGACTTGTGACGTCGCTACCCCCCCCCCCCCCCCCCGGTGCTGGGGGCGGCCCAGGGCGCGGCGGTGAACCTTGTACCCTTTCACGAGGCAACCGCATGTCTGCAGCCTGCAATACAGTGGGCTGCTGACCAATCCGCGCTCGACCCGTCGCCGCGTGGTCTCCGAGTGTTTCTGCGCATGTCTGGGGCCCGGCCCGCTGCGTCGGGCCGCGCGCTCCCCCGACATTCTAGGCCGAGCTCTTGACCCGAGCAGACGCGTCACGTCTGGCTCCATTAGGCCCGTTCTGTCCGGGATTTAGAACTTTTAAATTAGGCAGGGCATACTTGGCAAACTTGGATTCCATTCTCGTCTTTTCGTCACTCCACTGCATGATTCGTTGTTTCGGTTTTGCCTTCGTTTTGGAGCTTAAAATATAACAACCCGCTCTTAAATTAATTCTTTTACTTGGGGCCGTTTGGATCGTTTGGATAGAACTGATTGAATTTTTGGAACACGCACCAGGTTGATATTCTCCATTTCTGATTAACGTAAAACCCAGTCACTGATATGAGGTGAACAGCCCCACAGCACCACATATTACTGTGGTGCGCCTGCGTTATTCGTTATTCGTTGCCTCGTCCCTTGGATGATTTAACCCTCGCCGGCCGAGGGTGGGGGCGGGTGCCGCCCCCCCCCCATAGGGTTTTTTTCGCGATAGCTCCGAACACGCTAGCGATAGAGAGCTGAAACTTGGCATACCTGACCTTTGATCCAAGCCGGATCTTTTGACACCAACCGCATTTTTGGGTCAGGTCAGGTCACTGACCTATGACGTCATAAGTGAACCTCTGCACGGTCTTCAGATGTCGCAACTTCGCAACGCCCTCACTGCCAGAGGAGATGTCACAGGGAAATGAAACTTGCAGGATCTAGTATCCATTATGAGTCCCACAACTTGTATATCTCGGATTTTTCCTAAAGGTCATATGAGGTCAGGTCATTTTCGTGACCTCACCATTATAAGTCAATGGGGAAAAATGAAAACTGCTATTCTGGCGCCGGGAACGATCTCCAACTATCTCAAGCACACAGAATCGTGATTTGATGCACTCCTTGCAAGGTTAGATGCGTCACTTTTGCAATGTTGACCTTGCGTGACGTCATTTATGACGTCATCAAGGTCATATTAGTTTTTCGTCAATAACTCTTGATCAAATTGAGCTAGCGAGCCGGGAAAGCCACCAATGGACTCAGGAAGACCTGCCGAATCGAATGATATGCGACATGACCTCTTTCGACCAACTTCGTGACCTGGGGGTGCTGACCTGACCTTGACCTGAGGTCAACACCCCAAGTTGACCTGACCCAGACGAAAAGTATATCATTCGACGCGCCTGAGCGAGACGAACACGATGCTGCCAAAATCGGCGCTCTGCGGCCGTTTTTTGCGAAGTTATTCACCAAAAACTGAACCGTACCTTGGGGCACTTGACCTGACCTCAGAGGTCACCGGTTGACCTAGGACCTTAAAATCGGGTACCAATCTCTGCGTCTCGTAACGGCGCACACGCTCGTTTTTTTCCGCGACGCGCTAGCTCCACCAGAGGCGAAACGGCGAGGGGGGGGGTCGTACCCGCCCCCCCCCCCTCGGCCGGCGCGTATGTAGAAAACCAATAGGTCCGGCGAGGGTTAACAACCACGTGTGTCACCGGCCGGCACGGGAGTCCCCGGGCCGGCGCAGACCGATTCGCGCGCCGACTTGTTGTGACGTCGCTACCCCCCCCCCCCCCCCGGTGCTGGGGGCGGCCCAGGGCGCGCCAGTGAACCTTGTACCCTTTCACGAGGCGACCGCGTGTCTGCAGCCTGCAATGCTGTGGTCTGGTGACCAATCCGCGCTCGATCCGCCGCCACGTTGTCTCCGAGTCTTTCTGCGCATGTCTGGGGCCCGGCCCTCTGCGTCGGGCCGCGCGCTCACCCAACATTCTAGGCCGAGCTCTTGACCCGAGCAGGCGCGTCACGTCTGGCTCCGTTAGGCCCGTTCTGTTCGGGACTTAGAACTTTTAGATTAGGCAGGGCATATTTGGCAAACTTGGATTCCGCTCTCGTCTTTTGGTCACTCCACTGCATGATTCGTTGTTTCGGTTTTTGCCTTCGTTTTGGAACTTAAAATATAACAACCCGCTCTTAGATTAATTATTTTACTTGGGACCGTTTGGATCGAACTGATTGAATTTTTGGAACACGCACCAGGTTGATATTCTCCATTTCTTTCTGATTAACGTAAAACCCAGTCACTGATATGTGGTGAACACTGAACAGCCTCACAGCACCACAGTACCCCCAGCCTCATATCGTCTGTTCTGCAATCGCCATTCGCCTTATCATGCGAAATTTCGGACTTTTCGGTAGTGAGCTGAAATTTGCTCAAACAGCCATACAAGCTTGCAATACCCAAGATTCCTTTACTACTCGAAATACCAGGACTGCCTAAAAACTTTATCATAGGGTAAGTTGGCAGTAATTTGGTAGCTATTGTTTCATTCAAATATGACGCAGCTAAGACATTTACATAACGAGAAAATATTTTTTCACAGAGATTTTGTGCGTAACCACTGTATGTGTGTATAAACATATTCTCATTTGTCAACCACATTATAGAGTTCAGTGATCAACCAAAAATGGACCAAGCCCCACAGAGCAAAAAGAGGGAAGTTCATCCCATGCTGAAGAAGATCTTGGACTTTGACAAAGATGTCAGTGGACGGATATGCTTTGCAGCAGAAAAGAAATTGCCAATTAAAAAATGGAAGCCTACATTTAAACTTCTAGAGGTATGTATAATTAATCATGACATAAGTTGGTGTTAAAGGGACCCTCCCACCTTCAAAAAAGTTAATGAATTGGCATGAAAGTGATGTCGCTTGGTTCAGAAAGAGCGAAAACGAATATCTACCAAATTTCATCAAAAAATATTCACCGGTTTTCAAGATATTAGACTTTTACTTTTGTTTACTTTTTGGGATCTCAGCTGTTCCTAGCAACTTTATTTGAAAGTGCAGCACTTGTTGTGCGCAAAGCGGCATATACCACCGTGCCACCAAATGTTTTAGTAAAAATTTAAAATCGTTAGAACTGCGCTGACGTCACAAATTCTAAGGGGGCATCCCAATGCATTAGCCCCTTAGTATCCGAAAACTGCAAGTTTGAAATTCCATATCTCCGAATTAAAGCATTTTTCGATGTTGTGAGTGCCCAAACCAGTATTTTCAGGCCATGGCCACCAATTTGGCTATCTCAACTCAAAACTAATGTTAAGGTGGGATGGTCACTTAAACCAGCATTGCAGGTCATGGTAGTGGGCACTCAACTGCTGCTCAGTTCACCCCACTCAGTGTGTTGAATGTCAATGTATGTGTAGGCATTGAGCCAGATTGTAAGTGCAATGATACAATTCATAGGCATCAAGGATGCATTATTGCACTCCAGGCAATCATTTGAAATGGGCATCAATGACTGTAAATGCTTAAATTATCAAAGCAACTGAGTGATGTAACTATAACGGTGTGTCCCAGGAAGATGCCAGATTGGGACGATGTAAATATTTAGACCAAAATAAGCCTGACCTGACCTAACCTTACCTACAACCTACAAACCTGCAACCTACCCTACAAACCTACAACCTACAACAGTATCTGGCATCTTCCTGGGATGCCAGGCCTACTTATACCACTATAACTACGATTCTGTTTATTATCCATATTTCAGTGTTCTAATGTTTGCTGTCATTTTTGTGCATAAATGGAATAATCTCTACCATAGGGTGTAGGGATTTGCTTGCTTCTTTTAATCAAGTTATAATGTTTTTAATAGCACCTAAATTTCAGGAAAGTGACTCTGTCTGAATAAGGCATCTGTGCATCTATTCATCGCTGACTATTCATCATGGGTGTTATTACATTTTCTGTGGTAATTTCAGGTTAGCTGTCATGGAGTGCCAACCATTGCTGCAACAGTAGCTGGAATATACCTGTTCAGAGATAGCAGCATTGACTGCTTTCTTGTCAATGTTCTGATGGGTATGTAGTATGAATAGTGGGATAAGTTCCATTGTAACCAGATCTGCCACTTGAAATATTGCTGATGGTGATTGATGATTCAAATATGAATAAATAGTTACTGTGCCCTTGCTATTGAAAACATTGAATAGAAAGGCTGTCTTTGACTTCAATATATTCCATTGGAAGTAATCCTAATAAGCTGAGATACTGTACGGGGACCCGCAGCTGCTTCTGTACACGAACCCCAACTCTAGCCGTCTGTCCTGTCCAGTAACAACCGATAACATTGATATCGACTGCCGGTCCCTGTACAAGAGCAGCTGAGGTTTTCTGTGCGTGCCCTTTGAGAGCTTATCGTTGTTCCCTGTGAGGGTGCTAGGACAATTTACTCAGGGTCGCTGTACAGTAGCAACTGTGGGTCCCTGTACCTGTGTCACATGTTAGAGTGATAACTTGCAGGTTGCAATGTTGCATGATGTAATTCAATTGAGAGTAGCCACACAGTAGTAGTGAGCGCTAAGGGTCACTCCGGGTGGGTGCTGTCGGCAGCGCTGCTCCTGGACCTGGTCTGTGTGGCCGTGGTGAAGGCGGTGGCCCGCCGCCGGCGGCCCGCGCCCAACGAGGACGACCTGCTGACCGTGGCCGCTGTGGACAAGTTCTCGTTCCCGTCCGGCCACGCGTGCCGCGCCGTGCTGCTGACGGGCCTGCTGCTGGCGCGCGGCGGCTGGCCCACGCTGCTGGCGCCGCCGCTGCTCGCCTGGGCCTGCTGCGTGTGCGCCTCGCGGCTGCTGCTGCGCCGCCACTACCTGCTGGACGTGCTGGCCGGCATGGCGCTGGGCTACCTGGAGCTGGCGGCCACACTGTGGCTGTGGCTGGACGCCGACAGTTGCCGCGGCTGGGTGCGCTGGCTGGGCGGTGTGCTCGGCGACGACGGCGCTGACGGCAGAGAGCTGTGACCGGGTCAGATTACTGGCTCGGCCGGAGCTGTGACCGGGTCAAGTCACCGCTCAGCCGGAGCTCTGACTGGGTCAAGTCACCGTCCAGTCGGAAAATGTGACAGAGTCACTGGTCAGGTCACTACCTCGGCCACGGTCCATGGCTCTGACCGGGTCACTTGATCGCCCGGCCGGTGCAATGAGTGGTCCCAGCGTGGACGGGTGATTTTGATCGTCATAATAGTTACTGCCATGCTCTGCGCCAGTATGGGTAACCGTTTGGGGTTGTGCTCTGTCTCTGTGATGGTCTGTATTTTTGAATAGTGGTACATAGATTGACAGATATCTGCTGTTTGACGTGTGATGTCCGATCATCTTATGATGTTTATTTTCCGGGACTGTTATCGTTGCTTACACCTACCATTAGCTGATTTTGTGGTGTAATTATTTATGATCTAGACATTTCCGCGCATTTTGTGCTTAATTTTTGTCTCACTTTCTTAATTTGATTCTTCTTCTCTACGCATTGTCACTAAATTGAGAATATATAAATATGCTTGCAAGCGATAGTAATTCGTCATGGCGTGGTCTTTTGTGCATTGTGATGATATTGTGATTGTAAATGGTTACGAATTGTTATTGTAATGTAACCAAGACAATATATGAGTCATGAGATCATATTGATATAAGATCATATTTGTGGCTAATCGCGCTAGGCGTTCTGAGTCCCGCCTTCTGACTGACCTAGCGTTCGCTGAAGACCCAGGCTCAGGTAGTCCTTGTAGCATTCAAGATAGAGCTGCAGCGCCTTTTCCTCCTCCATGTCGCCGCTCGGTCTGTCACAGCGGTGGTCTTCAGTCACTGATCGTCGGCCGGGACCGGTGGCAGCTCCCCTGCGCCGCCACGAGCGGTATCGTTGGTTGTCATAGTAACAGGACGTCCGGCAGCGGTAGGGTTCAGCAGTTGAAGGTCGGAGCTGCTCTATTTGCCGTACCGTCGCCTAGCGTTTGTGTGCGTGAGAACGTGAGAATGGGCTTTCGGAAAATACGGTGTGTGAAGTAAGGATAATTTCAGTACCTATCCCGGAAGACCCGTATCCAGCGCAGCTACTAGCGGGCAGTCCGGAGCCCTGTTCAAGTGCTCTGCGGCCGCCGCGGCTCCCGCGGCCGGGAGGCGGAGCCTAATTTTGGTTAGGTTGAACACCCTCGCGGATGCGGCCGCTGCGGCCGGCGACGAGAATGGCACGTTTTTTTTTTTTAAAGGAGATGCTGATCAAAATTTTGTGCGAAATTGCTTTATAATGGCTTTATTACTTCAATTAATACCTTTTTGAAGCAATTATTCCATAACAACATAATAAAATCAACCGAAACAAAGAGCGAAATCCACAATGTTTTGTCTCACGCGCGCAGTTAATGTCGAAGTTTCCCTGCGGTCGCTCCCGAGCGACCGCGGGAGCCGCAGGAAGAGCTACGCATTACCCAGAATGCTGCTCTCGCCTGATTGGCCGCCAGCTAAGCTCCGCCTTTTTGGCCGCGGGAGCCGCAGCGGCCGCAGACACTTGAACAGGGCCCAGGCGTCCATGTTCATCGAGAGTGTGAAGCTGCTTTTCGCTGGGACCATAGTTCACTTAGAGGCTGAAAAGTGAGACAAACTGAAATTGAGAGACATAAAAGTAGTCGAACTGTACCATCCGGCATTGAAACTGCGACAAAGGAGTTTTCGTGTCCGTGAACTCCCTTGAATGCGTGCTAGCTAAGCTGGGGTGCTAAGCTGCTACACCGCAAGATTTTTTTTTACTTCAGCATTCATGCGAGCGGTAAAAAGTGCTGCCACTTTGCTACCATATCGTTCAGAAATGGCGCAACTGTTTCATTCAATGTTTACATTTTTTGTTGCGACCAAGGCAGTATATACCGTTGCGACCTGATGTAACGGAAGTTAGCAGGGATTCAGCAGGGGTTCAGCAGGGATTCAGCAGGGATCGACGGCCCCTTCGATTTCGCTGAATTTTGGTGGAGAGGTGCAGAATGGTGTCCTCTATCGAAAATCCTAGTGCCAAAATGCGGGGAATCCATCAGGGGGGCCACAAATCCCAAAAAACAGTATGCCCTCAGGGCACAATCGACGAACTTTAAAAAACCCTACTTCTAGCCGTCAAAACAACTAAAAATGCACGTCATTCGAAAGAGGACAAAATTTTACGTGCAACGGTACCAAATTTAGGGGGCTAGCGCCCCCCTGAACCGAACAAAACAGCTTCAAATATATGGGCCCGGGAGTATGCCCTCGGGGCATAAATAAACGTTTTCAACAACTTCAGGCCTATAACATCGACAAAATCCAGCAATATGCACATCATTGGAAAGAGCGTAATTTCCCAAACAAAAAACACAAGTAACATTTTTCGATGGGGCCCACCTGGGGCCCACGGGACCCAATTGAAATTTGGGGCCCAATGGGGCGGCCCCTACGATTTTCTTCAAAATTTGCACAGACACTCTCCTGGGCCCCCTCTTCTATCTGGCTGAAGAAACCTACCGGGGAATCTAAAGGAAGGGGCCTAAAGAGGGCCCCAAAGAGGCCCTTTCTAAGTATTGCCCCTAATTTCGCGACCAACCCCGGCAATATGCACATCATTGGAAAGAGCGGAATTTCCCAAACAAAAAACCCAAGTAACATTTTTCGATGGGGCCCACCTGGGGCCCACGGAACCCAATTGAAATTTGGGGCCCAATGGGGCGGCCCCTACGATTTTCTTCAAAATTTGCACAGACATTCTCCTGGGCCCCCTCTTCAATCTGGCTGAAGAAACCTACCGGGGAATCCAAAGGAAGGGGCCCAAAGAGGGCCCCAAAGAGGCCCTTTCTAAGTATTGCCCCTAATTTCGCGACCAACCCTGGCAATATGCACATCATTGGAAAGAGCGTAATTTCCCAAACAAAAAACCCAAGTAACATTTTTCGATGGGGCCCACCTGGGGCCCACAGGACCCAATTGAAATTTGGGGCCCAATGGGGCGGCCCCTACGATTTTCTTCAAAATTTGCACAGACACTCTCCTGGGCCCCCTCTTCAATCTGGCTGAAGAAACCTACCGGGGAATCCAAAGGAAGGGGCCCAAAGAGGCCCTTTCTAAGTATTGCCCCTAATTTCGCGACCAACCCCGGCAATATGCACATCATTGGAAAGAGCGTAATTTCCCAAACAAAAAACCCAAGTAACATTTTTCGATGGGGCCCACCTGGGGCCCACCAGACCCAATTGAAATTTGGGGCCCAATGGGGCGGCCCCTACGATTTTCTTCAAAATTTGCACAGACACTCTCCTGGGCCCCCTCTTCAATCTGGCTGAAGAAACCTACCGGGGAATCCTTTGGGGCCCTCTTTGGGCCCCTTCCTTTGGAATCCTTTGGGGCCCTCTTTGGGCCCCTTCCTTTGGATTCCCCGGTAGGTTTCTTCAGCCAGATTGAAGAGGGGGCCCAGGAGAGTGTCTGTGCAAATTTTGAAGAAAATCGTAGGGGCCGCCCCGTTGGGCCCCAAATTTCAATTGGGTCCTGTGGGCCCCAGGTGGGCCCCATTGAAAAATGTTACTTGGGTTTTTTGTTTGGGAAATTACGCTCTTTCCAATGATGTGCATATTGCCGGGGTTGGTCGCGAAATTAGGGGCAATACTTAAAAAGGGCCTCTTTGGGGCCCTCTTTGGGCCCCTTCCTTTGGATTCCCCGGTAGGTTTCTTCAGCCAGATTGAAGAGGGGGCCCAGGAGAGTGTCTGTGCAAATTTTGAAGAAAATCGTAGGGGCCGCCCTATTGGGCCCCAAATTTCAATTGGGTTCCGTGGGCCCCAGCTGGGCCCAATCGAAAAATGTTACTAGTTTTTTTTGTTTGGGAAATTACGCTTTTTCCAGTGATGTGCATATTGCCGGGGTTGGTCGCGAAATTAGGGGCAATACTTAGAAAGGGCCTCTTTGGGGCCCTCTTTGGGCCCCTTTCTTTGGATTCCCCGGTAGGTTTCTTCAGCCAGATTGAAGAGGGGGCCCAGGAGAGTGGCTGTGCAAATTTTGAAGAAAATCGTAGGGGCCGCCCCATTGGGCCCCAAATTTCAATTGGGTCCCGTGGGCCCCAGGTGGGCCCCATCGAAAAATGATACTTGGGTTTTTTGTTTGGGAAATTACGCTCTTTCCAATGATGTGCATATTGCCGGGGTTGGTCGCGAAATTAGGGGCAATACTTAGAAAGGGCCTCTTTGGGGCCCTCTTTGGGCCCCTTCCTTTGGATTCCCCGGTAGGTTTCTTCAGCCAGATTGAAGAGGGGGCCCAGGAGAGTGTCTGTGCAAGTTTTGAAGAAAATCGTAGGGGCCGCCCCATTGGGCCCCAAATTTCAATTGGGTCCTGTGGGCCCCAGGTGGGCCCCATCGAAAAATGTTACTTGGGTTTTTTGTTTGGGAAATTACTCTCTTTCCAATGATGTGCATATTGCCGGGGTTGGTCGCGAAATTAGGGGCAATACTTAGAAAGGGCCTCTTTGGGGCCCTCTTTGGGCCCCTTCCTTTGGATTCCCCGGTAGGTTTCTTCAGCCAGATTGAAGAGGGGGCCCTGGAGAGTGTCTTTGCAAATTTTGAAGAAAATCGTAGGGGCCGCCCCATTGGGCCCCAAATTTCAATTGGGTCCTGTGGGCCCCAGGTGGGCCCCATCGAAAAATGTTACTTGGGTTTTTTGTTTGGGAAATTACGCTCTTTCCAATGATGTGCATATTTCCGGGGTTGGTCGCGAAATTAGGGGCAATACTTAGAAAGGGCCTCTTTGGGGCCCTCTTTGGGCCCCTTCCTTTGGATTCCCCGGTAGGTTTCTTCAGCCAGATTGAAGAGGGGGCCCAGGAGAGTGTTTGTGCAAATTTTGAAGAAAATCGTAGGGGCCGCCCCATTGGGCCCCAAATTTCAATTGGGTCCCGTGGGCCCCAGGTGGGCCCCATTGAAAAATGTTACTTGGGTTTTTTGTTTGTGAAATTACGCTCTTTCCAATGATGTGCATATTGCCGGGGTGCGTATTCGCCAATTGTATTACACGAATCGGCCAACCAATAGCTTGCCTCCTGAGTGACGTCAGCGTGGCGTCATACTTTCGGTCCTCGCCCTGGTGGCGTCTATTGAAGCTAGGTTTTAAGTTATTGACATTTAAGCTATATGTGGTTCATTATCGCCGTGGCGAAGTGGTTAGAGTATCGGACTGGTGATTCAGAGGTAGGTGGTTCGAATCCACTCGACGACTTCGATTTTCGTGTCATCTGTCATTGTGCGTTTTTTATACATTTGTAACGGCGTGCACCTAAGAAATCAGACGTAGGCATTCTTCTAATGAATATGTTGCATAAGATAGATATTTGCAGTCCAACCGATTGGTTCGGTTTCGGTATTTTCCAATGGTCTTTGTTTGTATTTGGTTTGGTAGCGGTGTTCTGATTTTCTGTGATTGACATCACTAATGCATAGTGCATACTATGCGAACGTAGTCAATGGAAAGACAAATGGTGCTGGGCGATGGCCATTCATTGATCAATATTTCTCACTGCCAATGGGTGATAGCACGCAGCATTGACAGGGGCGGCGCTGACCTTTTGAAAGTAGGTGGGCACTTGGCAAGGTAAAGTACCTAAAAGTAGCGAAACCTAAGATGAAAAGTAAAAATCGCACGCTGGTAAGCAGGCTATTAGATAGCTTTTCGTGTAAGAATCACCATGCACAAAAAAAGTTCGGCATAGCTGTTAGCGTAATCACGGAACGAGATAATCAGTTTCCAGCCGTCAGAGCGTCATCTATAGGAGCTATGCCCTAACTATAACTTTTACATTTCAGCCGCCAGGGGGATACCTAAGTCCTCTTACTTGGAATCTAGTTAAAGTCAAAAGATTTATATTAGACGTTTATGAAGATAACTTGGGACTGGTTGTTAAGTTGCATGCTCACGGCGGGCTGTCATCAATTTATCTCTATACATGTCTTATCTGATCGATGAAATAATACAGGAATCCGTTGTCATTCGAGTGTGTTTCATAATAGCTCTTCCGACTTTGACGAATATCGACAGTGCCGTAACAAAATTGGTAGTTCAGGTATAGACTGCAACTGCAGTTCTTTTGCAACTTATTCCTTAATCAGATGAACACTTGTCAGAGATTTATTGGGCGTACGATATTGGCGTGCGAACGTAGGGGCCAAAAATGCGCGTCTACGACCGACTTCTTTTTAAGAGAAAACAACCGCTGAAGCAAGAATCGATCCACCGACCTGTCGTCCATCACACCGAGACTCTAACCACTCGGCTACGGCGACACATATTTGTCTGATAGCCATATACAATGCAAAAATAGTCTCAACTCAAATCTAGCCTCAATGCATGCATTGTCGCGGCGGATGGCTA